TCTAATTCTTTTCAATAGATCAGATTTAATGAATAAATTGCTGCACCTTCTTATGCATTTAGGTAGTAATTTAAAATGTTCACTTGGCATAATAATTTATCATTATTTCATGAGTTTATAGAATATTATAGAGCTTTTTATTATCAATTTTCTAATTTGTGGGGCTCGCGCCTAACCAATTGATAGCCACGTAGAGTTTACCAATTTTTCTTCACGTGTCTAATAAGTAGGGTGCAGTTTACCACAGAAAGTCCTTGCGAAAGACANCAAATAAGAATTCAATTATGTATAAAATTTAGCCAAATTAACAATACGCTTTATGAGTAAATAAATTTGACTTGAAATACCAATATTTGTTCAAATTAAATAAAATAATTTTTTATTTGTTGCTGTGATAATGTGCAAAGTGCACCCTATGCTTCCATCCCACTTGACTGAAGAATCAGCACCACTTTGTTGATGCCATGTCAGGATTATGGATACCCATGTCTTATGGATAGACATAGAAACCACTATGGTCACTAATTATTGTTCATGTGTGAGTAGTCACGTACATATGCAGTCGAATTTGGGATGGAGGAGATCCGAGAGACAGCACACCTGATTCTGCAACAGGAGGTTTTAGTAACTGCAAGATATTGAAAAATACTGCATATGATCACCGCAAGCAAGAATGCCTGGAATTTGCCTGGCACCATTTCTCAAGGGTATTTGATTTTAATGTAACAGAAAAGCAATTTTCTTTGAATGACCCAAATAACTCCCAAACTACACCCAATCATAAATTTCTGAAGCAAGTCAGCATATTGTAAGTGTTAAAATTTTGTGAAATTCCAAAGTTAAAGTTGTCAATTAGAAACATAACAGCAGTGCTTATCTGAAAGACTTTCAGCACATCTTTCTTCCATGGATCAATTTAAACACAAAATATAGATTTCGCAGCGGGATATAAAGCCAGATGAGTCATCTGAAACTTTCACGCAAACAATGTGAATGTTCCGCACTGATCTATGGGAAATCCAGATCTAAGCATCATTGAAAATATTTGTCATCTTTGAGAAGTACAGATATACTAAGATCAACTGTACAACTGCGAGGAATAAATTAATGCCATTATTCAAGCTGATACCAATTTCAGCAAAGCTGTGATCAAGGACCTATATAAATCTACAAAATTACCTCCTGATGTAATGGAAAAACAGAGAGATACTTGTCTCATACCTGAGCATTATGTGCCAGTTCAGTGTGACAATGGTGTAAAACATTTTGGTTACAAGTGTAGTTCTAATTAATGTATGTCTGAAAATGAAGCTGGAATAGAGTTCAAGGCATACAACCAATAAATACATCTGTACGGGAAGCAGAAGGCACAGGTTTGAGTTCAACTCTGGATCTATATTTCTTCTAGAAGTTTCTAAATTACTTAAATTAATTACTAATCATTAATCTTAACACATAACTACCTATTTTTAAGCCAAATTCCATAATTTAATTGATATTCTTAATGCCAAATTTTTTATATAAAATCTGAAAATTCACAGTACTGTACATAATATTCTGATTTGTTACTTAACATTTATTTAGTTTTCTCAGTTTAAGCTTGAGGATTAATACTTGAAACAGTTGAAAGTGTTTGTCTCTTAGTGAATTTCTACCAGGCATTAAAGACTTTTTTACTTTTTACTTTGAGTTTGAGATCCAATTTCATGCAGTTAAAATATATATATAAAGAATCAGTTATTTAACTGTAAAATGAAATTAAAAGAGTAGCTGGTAGTTAAAACTTACCATTTGAATGAGGAAGATCAACATAATTTAATTCCCGACGAAGCACACTATACGTTGTTAATACAATATCATAATCAGCTAAAACAGGAGGAGGTATAAACTGTGAATGAACTCCATAGTAAACAAGAACTCTTAATGATTTTTGTTTAACATGTTTCTCTATTTCTTCTTCCCACTGATATTTTATACAAGTTGGCGTAACTATTAACGTCGCTCGTGAGGTATAGAGTCCCTAAAAACATTTTAAGATCAGTACAGTTTATTTTCATTTAATTTTAGTGAGAAAAATAGTTTTTAAATTCATAGCCTAGGTTCGACTACAAACTAAAATATTAAAATAAAATAAAATCTATCACTTTATTTATAAAAATAAGCCAAATATNCATAAATTAAACTTACGTTTCTGGAAATATATATTATTATTATATAATTTGTAAATTTTTAACACTACTTTTATGATTCAACTGGTTCCTAAAAAGCGATCCAGCGAGTTACATAATTACTGTAAGATTAGTGTCATAAATTTAGATTACTTTCTCGGAAATGATACTTCATAAAAATGGCCAACTTTTTTCCTTTTCTTTTCGCTTTAAGTGGGATTTTATTTTACTCATCGTAAAGTCCGTTCTGGCCTTTATTCCCCATCGTGCATTCTGTAATGAGTACAGAATAAAGGCCACAATTGATGGCCAGGGATAAGACAAACCATTCCTAAAAAATCCTAATTCTTTTTGACCGCCTTAAAGCAGAATCTACTAAACTTCGAACACTATGTACATTTATCGAATAAATGACATAAAATTACTACCTTTTCTGGTCCCTTCTCGCTTTTTCTTTCATACGAACCATCAAACAAGCTGGTAACTGCAACGTAAAGGAAGTACAGTGCATTAAAACAACGTTAACTTCAACGTTCTGTCTTACGTTGAAAGCTACTTACCAAAAATTAAGAAGAGAGAGAAAGAACGAATCAACTTCATCGTCAGATGCTAAATTATGATTTACGTGTTTACTCGAAAAATTTTATGTAATTGCCACGTGGTAAACGTGTAAACTTTTATGAAGTGGCTTGCCAATCAGGGTTTGCAGATGTATTTATTTATACAATTATTTATTTTANTCCTACCGGCGAAAACCCGTGAGAAATCTTTTCCCTTCCGTTATTTTTTATTTTTTTTCTAAAAATACAATTTCCAAGAAAAAAAAGTGCGGAGTATTAACTCATCCGCTACACAATTCTTAAAACCGCTACCATTGGCTCAAATACAACCCAACGACCATAAGTTGCCACGCATCATTGGTTACTTTATTTGACTAAAGGCGTGGACGGTAGCTCAACTACCAATCGGGTGTTGCGCGTGCTCGATGTATAAGTAGCACGTGGAGTTGTATGATGTCAGTTTCGAGACGACGCCAGCGCTCGTACTGGACGAGGGGTGAAGCTCTTCCGAGGTGATACTTTTTTCGTATTTTTGGGCTATTTTTTAAATTTAAACTAATTTTTTAAATATAAATTAGACTTTACGAATTTCTCGAGAATACTTTTTTGTGCAGTTTGATTTAAATTTTTGCCTGAATTTTTAATTATAGAGATTGCGGACCTCGTCATAGCCTGGTTTTATAAGATTTAAGCCCCTTAAATTAGTTGCGTTGCCCATATACGTGTTCAGAAAGCTTAGTATACAAATTCGGAAATTTTAACCTTGTATGGAGTATATTTGAACGGGTTCAAGTTCACGAGCCTCAAAGTTAAGAACAGTGTGAATTTGTGTTCATGGTTGTGTGAATTAGGACATTGGAAAAGCAAATTAAATATATAAGCTATCTGAGGTCAACTTCTCTTATAAACCAGTAATCAGACGAATTTCTAAATTGTATATTGAGTTTTCCTGGCTCTAAAAATAATTCAAATAATTAAAAAAAATGAAAAGCTCATAGTTTTGATGCTTTTAAAGAGTTTTATTCATTTCAGGAGATGCATAGATGTGTTATAGGGTCTTAGTGAATCACTTTGTGGCTGTAAAAATTATCCAAAAACTAGAATAATCAATGTTTTGGGGATTTTATGCATTTAAATCAGGCTTTAAACTTGTCACAGGGTCTTAATGCAGCATTTTGAGGCTGTTGTATGATTTAGATGATGAAAAAATGTTTTAAATGGATCCAGCAACTTAGACATTTTGCTGTTTTTCCTTTTAAGCCTGAATTAACGTAAAAATTCTAAAAATTTTTGATAAAATAGATTTTATTTGTATAAAACCTGGAAAATCTCAACTGTCCTAAAATTATTTAGCATTTTTCAATATTTTAAATGCTAAATTAGAAAATATCGGTGTAAAGACATAAAAGAATCTTGCAAATTTACTAGAACTTCGTACTTTCTTCTTTCACGTCTCGTGCCAGATCTTTGCACAATAATCATTTAATTGTTGCCAGCGAAGATAAAAAGAGTTGCATAAAAATCAGCAAATTATGCAATGTTTTAGGTCACTTCAGTCGATTCTGAAATATAGGGCCTAGAACATGTAGGCCTCTATGGGTTCTAAATATTATATAGACTAGAAATATTTTATAAGGGATAGAATGTGTAGATTTCTATGAAAATAAAGAAAATATCTATTACCAGGCTCCATAAGGTAACTGCATTTAACGATGCAAATTAAAAACTCGGAACCTCATATCTGAATGTACAGAAGGCCCTAAATTTGAATAAGCCTTCTGACTATCTAAACTATGTCGAGGTGTATGCAAATTATTAAAAATATCAAAAATCGTGCATAATTTAATTATTTCGCTTTTAAAAATAGTCAAAACGTCCAAAAAATATACAAATTTTTATATTTATTCCCTAAAGTTTCCGAAAAACATCTTAAATATCTTCGTAATTTCTCCTGAAGTTTGTACAGTACATTCTGCCCACACGACTTAGAAATTCGGAACAAGTTCTTATATTTAAAGGTTCAAAAGGTTCTAAGATTTAGAGTCTTGTGTATATCCTTTAACTTCAAAATTTAAAAAAGTTATTAAATTCGAAATATTTGATTATTACTATTATAACAGTAAGTAAACTTTGCACAGGTGCAGATATCAAGGGAAATCCGTAGTCACTAGGGCATAGATACGTGTTATTGCACTATTACGAATCATATTATTGCACAACGGTACTTGTGATTCAATATTTTATCTAAAATTAGCTTAAAATTTATTTTCAGAAAGGAGAAAATCGGCCTGAAAGTTACAGCTTTCATGAGTGAGATGCCCATATCAAAAGGTGAGTTGGTGCGATTATTCTTTGTTGCAAATTCCTGCTTTTTGCTCTTGCACAACTTTCTTCACACCTATTCTGTTTTATTTTTCGTTTTTTCTGATAAAGTTCGGAGCGTGGGTGTCGGGAAGAAGTGAAAAGTGTCTGTGTAAACCACCCGATATCTGCTCTTACCTTTATCTTCAACCTTCACATATCCTGCTGCCTATCGGGGAGATAAGATTTGCTTACCTTTTTTTTTGTGTGTGTGTATTTTGCTCATTCTAAACAGGTGAGATCATTTTTTCTCTCTCATTTATGCTCATTTCTAACCTACATTTAGTCCTTCGTAAACCCTGTACAACTTCTTCATTGGCGGTGTTATAACGTATAACGAGGCTCTTCTTCCTTCTAAGAGGCCCTAAAGCGTCAAGTTGTTTGCTTCATATGTCAATCCGTCTTTTATTAGATCTCATTCTGTATATTTCCTAACAATGCTTCGCCCTTTAACATACGATGTGTCTAAAGAAGGTCCTAAAACTATGAAGTTTTAAGTTTTAACTAGTAAGTTTTTGGCCTTCGTTTAAGGAAAACGTGTAAAATTAATCTAAATAAGTGTGCTCTGTAGTTAAAATTACTTAGGCCTACTTTCGGTTCAGTTACAACTAAGGTAAATTTATATCTTTCATAAGCATGGTAAGGTTCTAATCAAGCTTAACTCTAGGGCCGTTTTCGCATAAAATAAAGCTTTAAATGTTCATAAATTAGGGCCTCGGGGAGTGAAACACATTCTTTATATTCAGCATTATAATTCAGTTTGGTTTGTATCAGAAAATACTGTAAGTAACGGGTTACGTGATTATTAAATTTGGCAATAGTGTTTACTAAACTAATTGGAATCTACANACTACGCTTGTTGGAGAACAATAAAAACACTACACTCAACAAGCCACTAATAAAACTCAACTGCCTAACCTATAACCAAAGTCTCCTTTTAATTTGTTTTTTAAAAAAAGCGCTTGACAAACTTGCCCCGCATGCCGAAGTTGCCCCGATCTCCCCTAGGCCTATAATATTTAAAATTTTTCATGCGTATCAAAAAAAAATAGTTCTACGTCTTAATGAAAAGTTACGTTTTAAGTCAGTTGAAAGCTTAGAAAAACGAAAGATGGAAAAAATTTTGCATATAGGCTAATACATAGCTTTCTAGCAATACGACCATACTTTTTAGCCTTCTAGTTACAGCCTTACTTTTGCCTTTCGGCTACAACTTCTCACTCGTAACCTTCTAATCAAGTGTAGAACTGAATCAAGACGGCTTATTTATAACATACCTTTAGCTACTTTTCCAGTCTACTTATAACCTTTTAATGACAATTCCCATGTTATTTGTATCCTTCTAAACGTGTATCTTTCTAGCCAAATCTAAAATATTATTCAAAAGGTTTATTTAAAGCCTTCTAACTACAGTCGCGAACTTGCAGTTGTAGTTTTATTTGTAGCCTTCTAGATGCAGCTGAAGAGTTTATTACGGTCTGCGAGACACAAATGAGGCTTGAAACTGTGCAAAGTTAGAAAGATACTTCTTGTTCTTTCGTAGTAATTACGGAGAATAAAATTGTATTTGTGAAAATCTAGTCTGTCGTTGAACATTCTTGTGGAAAGTCGAGATCTTTCTTTAGGCTGATTGAAATCTGAACGTTAGAGATGAATAATGGCCGTACGAGTCTAAGCGTTTTAACACGCTTCTGTGGTTTGTAACGCCTTTTATTTTAGTTAATTTTGGAGGGAGGAGAAAGAGCTGAATTGGTAAAAGATAGAAATGTAAGGAGTGAAATATTGCGCGTGTTATACCTCTGCACTTGGCTTCTGAAGTAGGAAAACGGTTTGATGTTTCTGCGCTTCTTCCTACTCCCACTTCGACTTCATTACGCAATTAATGAGGTGTAGAAGTTAAGAACTAAATCCGGGAACATTTTCAGCTGTTTGTACAAGTAAAATGTCGTTTGTCAGACGTTTCTATTCTCTAGAAATACTCAATATCTTATTTTTCATTTAGCCAATTACAAGAGACGATTTCAAAATTTAAATATTCGAAATTATCGTGTGACCAATTACAGCTTAATAAATTCAAATGTTTTAAATTTTAAAATAGTCATGTGATAGCATTGACCTATTAGTAAGCTTGAAATTTTAAATTGTCTCGTTACGCAGCTGATTGGATAATTTAATATTAAATTTTCAATTTGAATTTAAATGGTTTAACTTAATTGGTAGATATTTTAATCGTTGCTATTTAAAATTTAAAAGTTCAAATTTTAAAATCTGATTGGTTAAAAGCGTTTCTGATCTATTTCGATGTTTATTTGCCAAGAACACAGCGAATTTTTAGCTTAATTGTAAGTGGGAGCATTTATTATATTTTAAATTATTGTAACTCCTTTAGAACGGAAATTTGAATACGTAGAGCTAGATTTTTTCTTTTAACAGCTTAAAACACCTGGAAAGGTGTTAAATTTCGGAAGGATCTCCTCGAGTAAGATCACACCTCAAAGAGTCGAAAGATAGTCTCGCGTGACACGAGGCGACTGGATTCGTTCTGAGAATGTAAGGAGAACTGGAAAGAGCGCTTATTACAAAAATATTCCCCTCTAAAGATAGAAGAGGCTGTTTAGTTCATGACCGGGTTCGGGCCTCCTCTATTTTTAAAAATCTCTTGGCTCTTTCATTTCTTCCTCTCGCTTTATTCATTTTATGCATTTGAAGGGCCCCCAGTTTGTAAATTCACTTTTTCCTCGAGTCCTCGACGTTCTCCTTTCCTACTAAGATATGACCTAAGGGATAGGTGCTTTACATTACCCGGATGCCCAGAGGTTAGCCACGCACGTGCAGGTGAAATCTATCAATCAAGTAAGGTGAGATTGTGTACTACTTCGGGTCTCGATTCCACATCTGCTAAATTATGGAGGTAATCTATGTTTCATTAAACTACGGCAATCTTAAATTGTGTACTTGAAATTAAGATTGAAGCAGGCTTGTTTTCGAGTATGCCCTTTCTAAGGAAGTCTAGGCCTCAAAAGAACATCGAAAGTTCTTTCTTTTAACACCGTACGACGTTAAAGATGTATTAATATTAATGTTTTAAATTCTGATTGTGAAAAGGCGTACTAATGAAATCGTGCATTTTATACTAACCTAAAAAGCTTCAAAAATTACATTTAGAATGTTTTAATTATCTTATATCTTGCCAGTTATTAAGATAGGCCTATATTATTTTTTAAAAAGGCCTTCGCCTGTCTAGAGCAGGATATAGACACGCGACTCTAAGCCTTCGCATGTCAGATGCCCTTCCTTTTTACTAAGTAGTAATATGCTTAAAAGCAAAGGCCCTAAACTATGTTTTCCTAGCCTTTAGTTATGGATGCGTAAACCTTTCGGCTCGTTGACAAAGAAACATCCTGAAAATGGTAGATTCGTGCGTGAGTTTGACTCATTAAAATTACTCATTTGTGTATGATTTTTCAGAGTATTTTAAAACTGATTTCCTCCATTATATCTTGCGTTTTTCGCTTCCAGCATTGCCTAAGCTTACAGCTACTCTACTTTCTTCGTAAACATGCACAAAAACAACAAAGGATGATTGTCACGCTTGAATTATTACAAGAGGAATGTCTCTTGTAGTATTTCAAGCGTGATAAACGTCGTTTCTTCACATGCAAAACGTTCGGAAGCCACAAAACAGCACTCGACCGCTGGAAACCCTCAAAAAAAGCGCCAGGTCTTGTAACAAAAGAATTTGACACTTTCCCAGCCCAGGGGCCTTCTCGTCTAATTGCCCATCCAAGACATTAGGCAGTTGGTCGAGTGATGGCAATCAATCAATCCGGCTGCACTTGTACCTGCTCAGGCATACCGAAATCACTACTTTACTTCCCCAATTACCTGGTTCCCACTTCCATTGGACGAACACTTCCTTCAAGGCGCCCAATAGAATACTTAATATCCTCTACAATTACCCCGGATTGCAGAAGCGAAGGTATATTTTCCCTCTGCTCTGCATAGTAATTTTCGGCTGGGTTAGGCCCCTCTTTTCTTCCAAAAAAACAACCTGCCGCCTCCGTAGGTAAGGGTTCTGCTACACTTCTTTCCAGGCACAACTACCTTTTTTTCCCTTCTTCGTCTTTTTCTCTTCCTCTCCTTTGTAGTAGTGGAGTAATGGGTCGTGTTTTGCTACCGCTTGGCTTTTGTTGTTGTAGAAGTTTAAATTACAGTGTTTGCCTGATTGGAGGTTGGTTGTAGTAAATGGGGGCTTCCAGATGCTGTTAAAGATTCAATTGAAGAGAAGTCGCGCTTTGATGTCGTCGCGAGGAGGACATGTTTTTCGTATTACACGAATTTCTTTTGAAGATTTCGATGCTTTCTGTTTTTTATCTTTAACTTTTTATTGTATTTAATTTAGAATATTTGAAATTTTTATTATTAAAAACTAGAACTAAAGGTATTGCACAAGGACTAGTATTGTGAATTATCCGTGATTTGAATCTAAATCAAAGGATTATGGGAAAGATTACTTGTGTGATTATTATTCTGGTTTAATTAGAGGTCTTTCATGCTTGTCTATCGGTCTTTCGGGCAGAGCTATTGTCTCTTGAATGGGTAAGAACAAATTTATCACATGTGAGCTTTTAAAGGTGACTTTAAAAATAATCCTCTGGAAGATCTTTAAGACATGATAAAATGCCAAAGAACATGAAGTCATTCAAGCTTCACCAGTAATAAAATATAATAAAATGTGAAATCTTTTTTGTGTTATTAATTTAAGATTCGTTATAACGAGACTTAATGATTATTTTATCCAAGATTTTGGCCAAGCTTGAACGTTGGCCACATAAAAAAGCCATTGACTTTACTGATGTAGTGGACAGACTACTCGTTATAACGAAACCTAATGATTTTGTACAAAATATCAGATTTGTGTACAACTATTAAGTTTCTTTGTTGTAGAACTATTAAGTCGTGTACTGTGCACGGATATCTGATTCCTTAGCAATATGGTCTACTGCCAAATTGTTGAGGGTAATGGAGATGGGGAAGTGGATTCCCGTCTTGATGACTTCAAATCAGCAGAGATTAAGGGCTTTTAAGCGCAAATTAAATGCTGGTTGTAAGTGAGAATAGCCCTCAAACCGACTCGATGAAAAATGATTCCTTCCTCCACCATCCGAATGATGACAGGGCCTACAACGTGTACTTTACAACTCCCAAGGCCATATATCCGGGTTAAGTGCAGGACACTGGTCGCCTACAGCCCTTCTGTTTACATAACTGTAGAGGTAGTTAGCCCATCGTGACCTATTTTTGGACAAAGATACCGACGGCGCCATATCGAGTAGAGGGTCCGAACTGGGAAAATTATACAGGGGTTAAAGGTAACAAGAGTCTCTAGCAATAACTGAAACCGTAGTTGAGCCTACCACTTACAGTTTTTTTTTTTCGATTTTTCTGATAAAACAGCGGCAGTGGCTACTCGTAGTGGCACTTAACGATCGTTTTAAGCGGAGAAAAGTCACGTAACCACGCCTGAATGTTTGAATCACAAATTCGAACTTCTCCCCTCGTGGTTATGTGGAATGCAAGACTGCTGCCAACAACATCGAATCTTTGTTAAGGATCGTTAAGATCTTATTAGTCTTCTATTCTTAGTTTTAACTGCCCTTCTACGGTTTCAGTCCCTCTCTTCTTTCATATTTCATTCTGTATAATTCCTCTTCTCTTTTGCTCGTGTTACTACTCTTCTTCTACACAGAATTTTAACATTTCTTGTGTATTTGGCACGGGTAAAACACGACTTTTTTAGATTCTAAGAACACGACCTCAAGATCTTCTCTAGTACTGCGAGGCTCTTCGTAAACAGTAATTTTAGCTTAAATGCAGCTCGAAATCGACTCAATTGGTTGCAAAATAGACAAAAGTACTCTTAGAATTGAGGCAGATATTTTAGTAATGCTGCAAAAAATCGTTGAACATCAATTTGCAACATAATACACACGCGACGAACTAAATGCATTCTATACATTTTAGGATATCTTCCATCTCCCGAAAGATAAAATATCATCCTCAACGTTCTCAGTAGATTTAAAAATGTGAAAAAATATCGCCAGAGAGTTTGGTATTCCGTCAAGATTAATTTATTTTTCTTAGACAAGAATCTCAAAAATGTTAATATGGGTTGAGTTGCTGCTACTACACATCTTTCCGGAACTACTTGTTTATTCACAGTCAGCAACTTTTAGAGTAAAAAAAAAAAAAACAGAAAAAAGACCTCGAAGGGAATTTCTTTCCCAAAAATGAAGATAATTAAGAGCAAAGGACAGGTTGACTTCCACAATTTGTACAAGTTGCTTCCCTTCTGTAATATCTGTAAATAGCATCCGACTAACAGCTCGGGGCTGCACTTCTCCCACTTAAATAGTCACACATAGTTTTTGTCATTATGCTTAAGACATACTTTCCCCCCTTTGCCCGCGGATCTTCACACCCGTAACGACGTCACGTGACCAGCTCGAATCTCTCCAAATGTTCACATTCTGTGTTGGTTTGCAGCATTAGTCACATAATATGAGGCTTGGTTTACAGAGATTAGTAATTAGAACTGTACAATTTTAGTAAATTTCCTTATGGTAGAAGGCTTGTAAAAGTTTAAAAATGGAAAATAGGCCTGTATAAAATATTAAGCTGGTGTAGGTGTTACAGTAAAGTCTTAAATCCTACAGGAAAAGCGCTTAAGAACAAAATTTAGATAGATTTATCTAATTTATTACATTAAGTTTCTTAATTTTATTAAGATTAGCGTATGTTTTTAATTGTAATAATCTTTTGTTCTTACAGAATCCGAGAAAGAAGAAACGAAACTGGAGATGCTGATCGATTGCGCTCCCTCCATGCACCACTTCTACCTGCCTAGCTACATAGGTGGGGCCTACCCGTATACCTACGAGCGGCCCTACTTCCTACACCATCCACCCACAGCCCCTAAATTCGACTTTAGGAGGCTGGCGGAATCGGCCACCTCTCCCTCCAGCGATGGAGGCGCTGCGGTGGCCGTTATCACCAGCCACGCTTTCCCTTTAGTGGGCAGCTATGGATTGATGCCCCCTTATCCCGAAGGGAGGAAATTGTTGAGAAACAGGGCCGTTAGTAGACCTAAAAAGGAGTTCATATGCAAATTCTGCCAAAGGCACTTTACTAAATCCTACAACTTACTCATCCACGAACGAACGCATACTGACGAGAGACCATATACCTGTGATATCTGTCGCAAGTCTTTCAGACGTCAGGATCATCTCCGGGATCACAGGTGAGTGGAGAATTTACGCTATGCTCACATGCCTGTCTTCTTTGCTGTCGAAGCCACTTTACACTCAACAGGATGGCTTCAATCCTTTAGTCTCCCCGAAACTGTATTATCTTTCTTTCTGCAGGTATATCCATTCCAAAGAGAAACCATTTAAATGCAGTGATTGTGGAAAAGGGTTCTGCCAGTCCAGAACCCTGGCCGTACATCGCGTGCTTCATCTGGACGATTCGCCTCATAAATGTCCTACCTGCGGTAGAACCTTCAACCAGAGGAGCAACTTAAAGACTCACCTGCTGACCCACACGGACATCAAGCCTTTCAACTGTCCTTCCTGCGGGAAAGTGTTTCGTAGGAACTGTGATCTACGTCGACACATCTTGACCCATAGCCTAGGCTTAGACGAAAGACCCATAGACTGTTCCACATGCTGTTATCCCTCCACTACCCAGGAAATTGTAGATGTAGAAAATTGAGAAATTTGTATGTTTAATTTTCGGAGTGTTTTTCCTTTTGTATCCAATAAAACTCTTTTTTTCCAATCCTTATTTTGGTTGTCTTGTTTCAGTCATTTTCAGATAAAGATCTTTCATTCGGGAGGAACTTGCAGTATTCCTCTGTATTCCGCCATGTAATTAAGTTAGTTTGATTAACTTAAATCTTCCACTTGTCTGAAAGACGAGAGTCTTTAAATTAGCAGTAAATATATACAGATCCTAAGTATATAAATGATTTTCTTTTAAAAAAAATATTATTTATAATCATGGTAAAAGTAATTATAGACTTAAACTTCATTTATTAATAATATACGCAGAGTGTATCTTAGAAGAAATACATCATAAATATTTTTCTAAATAATAAAATTATAAAATATCGAGTTACAAGGTCAGCGTAGATCTTAAATGCAATTAAGATCAAAATAGTAATTTAAAATAATTCGATAAACATTTTCTCTGAAGAGTTACGAAGTAACGAGTATGTCACTTGTATGTGGCACGTGTTTCGCTAGATAAAACCAAGATCAAACTTTGTAACTGTAACACATAACAGGCCCTCCGATAAGTTTTAAAAAGTCAGGCCCTAAATTGTATCCTCTTAAAGTCAGGCATTAAGCTTAGGTGTAAATATGACGCCTAGACAAAAAGTTTACCGGCGGCCAAGTGGATAAAACCACTGAATAATACTAGTTGTGGGTTCGCTCCTCACGGATTTTAGATGTCGGTTTCTCATAGAAAGTCATTCCGCCAGGCAACTTCCTTTGCAGATGGCCCATATCCTTATTCCATTAATTCACCCGAATAAAACAGACCTGTAAGATTTTAAGATCGAAGCGTAATACGTAAAATTATTTTGAAAATTCAATTAAGTTTAAATTCGCGTGTAGTTCCGCCCTTATAAATGTTTTAAAAATACAAACGAAGGCGGGCGAAATGGCACCTCCACACAATTAATTAAAAAACTTTCTTTTCTGGTATTTCAAACGCAACGACAACGAAAACAGTATTTTAAATTATCACCAAACAGAGGGAGAAAGCGTAGTAAATTGTGCAATAGTGATTCATCTCAGTTACCTCTTGGCAAATTAATTACGGAGTAGCTAAGCTCTTTAGAAGTGGAACAACACAATTCAATCCGTAAAGAGTCTTCGAGATGTAACGAGGACCACTGCACATCGTCAAGAAATTGGCCAACAACTGCCTGATGCTATTATTGTACCACGGGTACTACAAATATTCCTAGTCGTTAATTCGAGACGAATCTGCGAATTTTTGAGCATTCTTCAGAGGCCTCACCCTTGCCGAAAAATGTATGAGAAAATAGAACGTCGTGAATGAAATACCACTGAAACGGATACGTGGGGAACAAAGGGTGGGTCCTGCTAAGAATGTGCCACAATCCGTTGCAGTTGAAGCGAATCACGAGAGAATCTAAATCTTTTAAACGCATTGTTTTCTTAATTAAAGGCTTACTTAGTTGTAAAGATGCAATTAAAAAAGGCCTCATATAATTTTTGCTTTCTAATTTTTTAGTAGGAATTGATGAACTGCATCATTTTTAATCATCCCCCTGCTTCCGATTATGCAAATGACCTTTATATGAAAAATTCCACAGTGATTGCACTTAAAAAGTGCTTTCCAGTCGAGAAGATTTTCGCAAGATCCAAAAACATTAAAACAAAAAATGAAGTAATTAAAATTAGAATTTTTCTGTTTTCGAAAAACAGTGGTTAATGCCTTTTTAATGGGAAAAGAACCCCTATTGTTCGGGAGTTATTGGGTAAAAGTGAAACATTTGGGGAAAATTCCCCGAATTAGTAAGCGGTAATTACCCGAAATTCCTGAGAGAATGCTCCCCTTGTCGAGTGTCTACGGGGGATAGGGCCCCCGGATTGTCAACAAGGATCTTCTAATTATTCTGTTTTAACGGAATCTTCCACAACACTGGAAAAGTTGTGTCGAGAAGTGTAACGTGGCAACAATGCAGCATCCATCAAACATACGATATGCCGGGCCCTTCGAATTACGCAACGATTCTCAACAATGACGGGCCTTCGGAATATTTGAAAACCATTAAAAATGACCTCCAGGACTCATACTAAACGAGAAATACCTTGAAAAATATTAGTGAATATTTTTTTTTATTATATAGCCTAAAGACTAATAAAATTGATAAAAGGAAAACAAGCGTGAGACCTGGCTAATGATCGAACTTGTAATGAATAATTTTCAAGGGCCTGTAGATCACCCTAAAGAAATACGCTGTAGGCTTTAAAAAACTCATCACTTAAACTTTATATTATTTAAGGCCCTTTACAGAAAGACTCTGTAAAAATTATTGTAAACTTTCAACAATTTTTTAAAATAATGTGAAAAACGTTGTAAAGGGGAGTTTTCATTACTTTCGGTAGCATGCCGGAAGGAGCGAGTAAACCGCGCAAGTAGGAGGACGGAGGTGAGAATTCTGGGCGTGACGAAATCAGATTATGTCTCTGGAGGGCTCGAATTGTAATTCGTTTAGAGAAAAACGACACGAAAAAAAGGGCCCCGCAGACAAGAAACTCCCATCAGTCTAATTGGAGTGGAAGAGTAGAGCGAAGGTGCATCTGCTTGGTATTCGTCACTTAACCACCTGCGGTCGTCGCCTCTCCTCATAATTAAAACAAGAGCCGATTGCGCCACTTGGACGTGTTTAACTCACCTTTACTTTATTACTTTATTGAAATGAGGCCTGCCTTCCCCTTCTACGAATTATACAGCGATGAAGTGGACCGCGAGGGATCATCTGTTCTACCTTCTTTTATTCTAAATATTAGGGTATAGCTTCTAAAAATAAAATGATAAGTTTTATTTGCACAGAGCAAGTATTGTCTATTTACTTAATTATGGCTGTAGAAAGGCTGAACCTTGTTTATTTGCTCGCATACTAACCAATCCTAACCAAAAGAATTGAATTTGTTGGTCTTACGGTTCAATGTTAATTTCATTTTTCATTTAGACGGAAGTAAATAAAGTGTCGTTAGTCATGCAATATTTTTGCACAAATTTAATCATTACAACTGCTTTATTTCGATTAATCATTAAAACTATTAAAAACTTTAAATGCGTTGTAATGCAACTAACGTTCTTTTTCTTCGTCAGAAATGCAATTAAATAAGTTTAGATTGACGTTAACACCTGTTTTATCGTGGTCTGCGGAATTGTTTTAATGGAGACTTAACACACTTTGTTTGTTTTTCCTGGAAAGGTGGGTTGATTTAAACAATTTTTCAGGTTTAAATCGATTCTGGGATCAATTTAAAAGGGAATTTAGTGACTAAATTAGAGAATTTTCCGGCTAGGGCCCTTTCGTGATAAAACATGGGAGAAAAGTAATAGCTTTTGACATGGTGTTACATCAGTGATTTGTTCGTTGATGAGGCGAAGTTGGGATGGGGAGAACAGAAGAGTAAAAAAGTTCCCCACCGCACGTGCCTGGTGGGTGGCCCAGATAATGTTCCGAGAAAGAGGGAGACACCAGTCCGGGCCTCATACCGCACTAAGTACATGAGACACTTGGTGACAATCTCATTTATCACTCGGGTAAAACATTAGTGCTCTACTCGAAGTGTGAAGTGCGCATTGTCCTCGAGGAAACGTCATTTAGGGCCTTTTGGGGTGCCGTCTATTTGTAGTGCTCGAAGCCGTCTTTGTCATTAATTAGACGAGGCCTCCGAACGGTTTTTTAATGTATCTCGAAAGTCAAACGAGAGACCCTTTTTAATTTAAATCCTTTCTTCTATAGAGGAAGGCCCTGTAGAAAGGACGCAAAACGCGACCAGGCCTTACGGATAACGACCTCTGCAGAACGAGATGAGACTCGCCAGACATTCCAAGGGAATTAATAAAGTTAAAGTTCGACAAGGAGGAAGAAATGGCGGAGGGGGATGAAATACGTCTTTGTAATGGGACCCGACAGTTGTGCAGGGGACGGCAAGCTCCTAAATGCTTCGCGTGCCACTGAACTGTGCGTTATTGTCCGCGAGGAAACATTGGAAGAGGCGCAACTACGGGATCACGTGTCTTCTACGAAACAGATTGAAAATTCCGTTTCTCTTTTCTCTCTTTCCTTCTGCATTTATTTATTTTCAGACTCGACTTTTCAATCTTGCCAATTTTGTTCGCTGACAGCATAGAAGAAAAGCAACGAGTTTTGATTGATTTATGGGATCTTCGTCGTTTCATTACCCTAAAAAAATCACAGGAAAAAATAAGAATAAATATCCAATGGCTATTTTAATAGAAAACTTTTCAATTTGATTGATCGTCGATTTTTATCGTCTTACATGTTTATTCAACGAGATTTCGATCGAGGTAAAGAGGGAAGATGCGAGTTAAGATTAGTGTTTTCAAGGACTAAATTAAATAATAATTCGACTTCTATACCTCTTGCTGGACTGAATAAAGGGTGAGAAAGTTACGATCTTCATCCGTATTTGAATATTTTGAGGCCTAAGCCTTTAAATACTTGGCATATTGTGTGCCAACTTCAGGTAATGCCAAGTTTTTATGCAAATCTGCTGTACAAAAACTAAAATGTGTGTTCATTCTATTGTATGTAAATGTGCTAAATATTTAAATGTCAACATCTTTTTAGTTATATTTACTTACAATTGTGTAACTTATATATTTTACATCATTAAACCTTATAAACTGTGTAAAAACGATTATACAGTTTCTAAAATTTTACAGATACATTACATTCAGTTGTAAGATAAAGTGCCATTTGTCCAGAAATTATTTTATGCCTTTGATTCCATCGAAAGTATTCTACCAGCAGCGATGTAACTAGAAACGATATTAGAGGGGAGGACCGAATTAGAGTGACAAACCTACATTCACCCTTACACTACTGAGGATGTAGCTGAATGCTGCGAATGAAGAGTAAACTCACATATTGTATATATGTGTGTAAGTGCGCTTACACACATTCAGATATTCTCCCCGTACTTATTTCATTTTTTCTTTATTTGTTTACAAAGGTAAGGGGCCCCGGGCCTCTTCCCGGTTAATTGCTACCAGGAAATCATTTGCGTATAAACTTGCATAGATGTTAAGTATTTAGTTTTTACAGATAAATACAGCATATTTATAAAAGATTGAAACTACAGCGATTCACTTAAGTTAGTCAGTAGCGGTTTTACAGAATGTTTCGAGTTAGGTAGGCCCTTTTGAAATTTTCAGAATACCTAATTTGAATGAAGGATTTATCGTAAGTGAAGTATAGATCTAATCTAATACAGTATATTTCTTTTATGTTTTTTATAATTCGAATGTTCTTTAAAACTACTCTAGAACATAGAAATCTACTTTATTTTGAAAACTAAGACCTTCAAATGTTCTATTCAATAATGAAAATGATCATCCTTGTATCGGCTTCATTATAAATTATATTTTTAAGATTTCAAAAGGCCTAAATTAAAATTCAGGAAGATTATTTGATTTAAACTTAATCTCAGACTAGGTACAGTTTAATGCCTCGTTTAAATAAGACCTTACTTTTTATACTGGTTAAATTCTGCAACAATGAAAAAAGAACAAGTCCTCGATACACATCCAAATAGTTTGTAAGCCAGTTAATTCGAGGCTCATACATTTTAGATTTTAGCACAATGAACAAATAATTTAATACTTCTACGCGCTAATGACGCTACCGTTTCGGATCTTTTAAGAATTTCCTTCTGTCCGAAGTCACTTCCAAGCAGAAGTCAAGTTGAATTTGTATAGAGACGTAGAAATGTCAGGAGAGGGCCCGTCGACAGTCGTTACGGCTTATTTAAACTATTCTGTCAAGGCCCCACCCGGAGTGCGGCAATTAGGGGGTAAGAACTCAAAATAAAGGGCGAATGTTATTCCAAGCACGCTGCTTCCTCCTTTGGGGTGATGAACTTGTGCAGTGACTACTGCTGACACTTAATGAGCCTCTTCCACTTCCCTAATTGGCATTTTTGAATGCCAGCCGTGGGTGCCGCGCAACACCCCTGGTCGCAAATTCCGAAACGACACACTATCTAGTATACTGGGAAGAGCGCCGTGTAAAAATAGATATTGTATTTAAATTAGCCTGGTAAATTGAAATTGATTTTCCATTCTTACGCTAAGTACTAGGCTGTTCTTTTGTTACTCGGATCATTACCGCTAGGAACCGCATTTGGTGTGTGGCGCCATCTGTCGAGTGAAAATAGAAACAGCGCAGGCTAAAAGGATTAAGAAATTGATTTATTTTCGGGAGAAAAACATTTTCATTTTACTAACGTACAATAGGACGAGTGCAGTTGTCCACTTGCCAATAGTTGAGGGATCTGAGAGGCCGATCTCTCAGAGTCGGAGGTTGCGAACATTTTCCGTAAAAATGGCCAGGATGATCGTACTTGGTGCTCCAACAAACTGATAAGTCGCACACAATAGGATTATCTGAAAGAAAAGCCAGGCTTAATATCCCTTTAGGCGTCGAAAGAGGTAACGGAAAAGAATCTTACTGTCGATGTCGAGGTGCTCCAGCGTGCCGATGACGGGCCTCCATGTTAATTCGTCGAACGTTTGCAATCGATTGTACATAAGATAAATTCTTTTCAGGTGTAACATATTGCTGAAGATATCATTAGGGAGTGACGATAATCTATTATTACTGCCAGTAATTAAAAAGCAAAGAAAAACGTATCAAAAGAAATTGTCACTTTCAACTTATTTGCATTTACTCAGGCATTTTTAAAAAGGAAAATTTAAAAATGGTGCATCAAATTAAAAGAAAATTATAGGAATTATAACGTTATAAGTAAGAGAAGAGCGTACATGTTTATTTCATTTTCAATGCAAATTAACGAAGAAGCAAAAATAAGAGCAAAAAATAGGCCATTTTAAGCATTTCATTAATGAATTAATAGATAATATCCGAAAATAAATTTAGAAAAATTTCATTTAAATTATATGCTATCAAATTTAAATTCGTGATTATATATATTTCTATGCAGTTATAAACACTCGAGTACTGAAATCATTAATGTAAAATTATGCCAGTCCGACGTACTCTTACCTTAAATTGAGAAACTTGATCTTAGAATCCCTCGGAAACATGCATCTCTTCAGTGATTTCAATTTATTTTCCGATAAATCCAAAAATATCACATTGAGCAGTCTGGCAAATGCATCGTCTGCCACCGATTCGACGTTACTTCCCTTTAAAGTCAACGATGCTAACGTAGGATGACTGAAACGGAACGACTCCTTCTCCCCCGTCTTAAAGGTATTAAAGCTCAAATCGAGATACGTCAAACTGTTGACTTTAGAAAATCTTTCCCAGTCGATTCCCGTTCCGAGTTGGCAATTCCTGATGGAAACGCTGACTAAGCGATTTTCTAATCCCAAAAATGGGTGCTCTTCGGACTGAGTGAAGCTGTTAATTTCCGTACTGTCGATTACGATATCGGAAATTGTGGTTTGATAGAAGAGGTTGCTGGGTATGAAACCTATTTGCGAGGATGTCATCCTAAACTTGTCAATGGCGTGGCCTTTCAAGGCCGATATCGAACGCGTTAATTTCTGCAGGGACTCGATTTTATCACACGTAACCCAGATTTCGTTATCCTTGGGTGTCACCGTCTGGCACGTACACGGGTGGATGTTCTCCGGGGGCGGACACGATTGTTTAAGTGGAGTGGACGCCCGAAGGATGTTTAACAACGCAGAAATTGTCACCCAACGAAACATAATATTCTTCTCCATCATTTTCTCAATTTATCTTCCTTTAATCCTCTTATATCTAAGCCTCTGTAAATTATCTGACAGCTGCAATTGTCTCCAAGATACGCGATAATTTATTTAAAAAAGGCTTTTTCATCGAAATGACGAAGAAATTTCCAACCCGTATATTGTTTTAAGGACTGAATAAAGGCCATTCACCTTTCTGTACGAACTCGATATTGCCCTATGTATCGAAATGTGATCGAAGCGAGAATAGTTTCAAAAATTAGGGCCTCCAGGTAAAATAAAAAGCGTAGAGATAATCTGCCAGTTAAACCTATTTATCTTATCTTGCACAAATACTATGTTTGCATAAGTAATCAGTAATTTCGGAGAATTTCGCAATTCGAAAGTTAAACGACTTCCTTATTATGAAGGGTGACAGGCGACGTCAGAATTGCCCTAAAATTTTTGAAATGGCTTCACGGGAATAATATGAAGGCGTGTCGCTGCTACAATTGACCAATTGAAGCGACGCGATTCGAAATTTTGAATTCAACTTGGAAATGAAGCATCAATCCGAAAACAACCGTAGGCCCTAATCCTCCAATAAAAGCGCCGAATTTCGAGAATTCAAATCTGATGACTAATCACTCGATAGAATTCTAAACATTTCAAATATTTGCAACCGTATGCGCCAATCAGAACGGGAAATTAACTAATAATCCTGGTGTTGGTATCATTTTTTAAGTCTTTCAAATAATTGTTTTTTTCTTAATCATCTGTAGTGCGCTCTATTTAAAAACACGATTCATCCTAGCTATTGTATTTCATATAAATACAATCGTCGTCACATTGCAGACTTCTAATACACGTCATTAAGAAAAAATTGCATATAAAATGACAATTAAAAATTAACGTATACAGGCAATATATTAGCAGAATGATTTTCTCGCTCTCATCTAATTAATGCTTAATTAAATGACTGTAGGAATATTTAATACGGTAATTTATTTTTTATTTTTATTTCTGAAAAGACACTGTGGCCAGGTTGGCCTTTTAAAAGCGTCTTACAGCAAAAATTAACAAAACCAACAAAAAAAAAACATCCAAAATCAAAATTGAAAATTACTTTCGGTTTTACTTTCGGAAATGTATCGATAAATTCTTTTGTGTTTACGTAGGCTTATATCAATACAAAGTTGTGGATCATAAAAACAAAATGTCAGTTGTAAGATCTAACAACTAAACCTAACAGTAGATAATAGTGCGATATTCTAAATGCAATTTAAGAAGAAAACATCATTCTCCGGTCAACGAGAAATGCGTAAAATACAATTTAGTCGTTAGTTTCGTATAAAATACAGTATATGGGTATTAATGTACCATGTCATATTGAGGCAATGACGTTTATTTGCTTATTTTTCAAGTAATTATATATTACGTAGGTAATCCGCATCTTCAATAAAGGATGTTCCCGACCTAAAGACTGTAAGATATTCTACCGGAATTCTTGTGATTTTTCGGATTAAAGAGACATATATATGTATGAATAATTACATATTCCACAAATATTATATACCCGTGTCCAAGGAATAAGCGTAATCACCAATTTACTTTATATCTCGGGAACTACTGTTCGGAACAGCCTGAAACTTAACATAAAAGCGGAACTTTGTATTCTTTATTAAAAAATCATTCAAAAGCAAATATTTAATTTAATTTACGCCCGACCAAATAATATACAATAGGAAAAAGTACTAAGCATTGTTAGAAATATTTTTGAATAGATAATAATTAAAATAGCGTACGGTTGCTTCCCGCACACAACGCGCGCTGCACAACGATTACTCGTGCGGATTGCAATGTCGTTTATCAGATTTGTCCGGGAGCAAAGTCTATTTTTGAACGGGAGTCTCTCGAAGCTCCTCGGAAGAGGCTGACGGGATGCGACTCGTCTCCTTGGGACATCCCACACATTCTATGGGATTTACATCCGGATGGCTTACTCTTGCCGAACATGCCACGTGACGAATATTTCGCTGTCCAGAAAGTCACCGATGAGTAACCATTATCGTCCAGAAAAGTAAAATATGCATTCAGAGCCCCTTGAAAATATCTTACACTAGGTTCTTAAACCTCGTCTCTGTAGTTTATTACAGTATTAACATCTCTCGCAACATCTCGGACGTTAAGGATAATGTCACCCCAGATGACAATAGGCTATTACCATCCTCACTCTGGTCTGTTTCCACAATTTTTATTGAATAGTATCGGTTTCTCGCTCTCTCAAGATCTTAATCTGACGAGAATCATTTCGTAGACTTGTACCGACACTCGTCAGAGAAAAGAACACTTCTCCATTTTCTGACAGTCGAATGTCGATGTTTTTGGCGCACCATCTTCACTCGATGATGATATAAAATAGGAATTTACGGTAAGTAAAATTGCGAGCTCCAACAGGCCAAACGTTAACGTTTCCATTATGTATTTACAGTATGGACCAAGTCCGTAGGAAGTGCCCTGGCGGGTTTCTCGTCAGGAGAAGAATAAGCTTGATATAACAACGTTGCCAGACGTTATTACATCCAAACTCAATTTAAAAGAATTTTGATGATGATAAAAAACAAGGAATTTACGGTATATTTGCAGTAATTCGCAAGAGAATCTCGTGTGGGCGCCAAATATCCTAGCGATGGCGTTGTATAGCTAACGTATGATAACTCTTGGACGTCCACTTGGTGGTTGACATCTAATATTCGTTCTTTGAAATCTGGCTCAAAGTCTGCAAACTGTGGCGTATTGTGGCACGCGCAGGGACATCTGTTTGCAATTGGCCAAAACTGTCTTCGACGATTAAACCGCACTACTGTATTTATGGAGCCCGCATATTTCTCATAACCTACGTTTTTTAATTGAACATCCTATTATATTTTCGGTATTTTTCTTATTTGCAAACATCCGCGTAGATCATCCGCTATTTATGCTTATATATATAAACATTAGCCTATATGTTTATATAGCCTATATATATATATACGCATAAATACAAACAATACATAAACAAGAATACAGTACATACTCAAGCATAGACCTATATATTTTCTCTCACATACACGTACGCATCCTTCAAAACATACATATATAATATTTACAACACACACTCCAGTAAAATATTACACTTATGGACCTTCTTCCTTATCAAATGATAACAATCCATACGTATCAGTTTTTGAAAATGAAGAGAGGCTCCTGTTTGCTTACTTTCTGTATAAAATCAGCTATATATAGTGTAGATATATAAATACATTCAAAATCTATACGTAAATATATAATGTACTAAGACGCATGTGCACGAAATCCGTTTTGAAGAAAATAAAAAATGTGACCTTAGAATGCTGCGGATAGAATAAGCTTACTGCGAACGTTTTAAACGTATTTTGATATATTTATAGCTCTTACTTTCGAATTTTATGCAAAAAACGATAAAAACTTGTTTACGGTCGATTGCAACATCCGCTACCTTGCACGGGAAAGTGCAAGTGTTTTAATAGATGTAATTACCAGGGATTCTATTATGCTTTATAATATACCGGTAGGCTATATTATTCAATGTACAGTATTTTTACTCACATCAAACTCAATTTTTTCTTATGACAATTGCTACCATTGCCTTTAAGTCTTCAGATTTACATAAAATTATTAATACGAAAGATTCCTCGAGAAAAATAGGTTATTTAACTACGGTATTTTAAAAATATTACAAAGATCTTTCGGTGTAACACCAATGAAAATTACAATTAAAAAATTATTTATCTCACAGAATTTCATCAAAAAATAGTTTTTTTAATGTTTTTACCTCGGACCTAGAGTCGGGAGAACAATTTCTTAAAACTGATTTATTAATTTAGTAGACTACATGTTTTAAAAGTTGGTTTATTCTATAAAAAGTTATTAAAAAGCATCAAAACCCGTTAATATTGGGAGTGGGCGACTTTTTAAGAAAATTTTCGAAAGTTTCATTTTTTTGGTAAAATAAAAATTTCACAACTTTGGAGCTTTTTGAGACGTGGTCCCAGCCTTTAATATCTCCGATTTTCCCTGACAGTTTCTAGAAACGTCTGCCCGATACACGAACCTCCTGGCAAAATTTTCGACAAAGGCGAGGGATTATTAAGCTTCGAAGTGTGCGCACTAACAGGCCTACATACAGAAAAATCCCAACTTTTGCATTTCTCGACATTTCGAGGTCACCGAATCCAAATACGTAAAGTTCTCGGGAGGAATTTTTTTGACCCATCGTCATACTTTCCCTCTGTTATATAACAGCTGGGAAAGTAAAATGTCAGTATTTTCTTTTTATTACACAAATTATAAAATTTATATACAACGTACTGTACAGAGAGAGTATGGTACATAATAAAATACATTTACAAAATAAACTTATTAGTTTCCGAACAAGCGGGAACAATTTTAGGAAGAGCTCCTATGTAAATGTCATTTAGGAACATTTATCCTGCTGAATCGGGAAATTGTCGGGGGTGCGCCGAACATCTCGATGGTAACAACGTATTTGTACCTGTAATTCGATGTTTTGCCACGAAAAACCAGCCTTTGACTAAAAATCCTTCGATCAAGAATGACTACAAAATTTACACCGATCGTATCAAACGGCGCTGTGTCTAACTATTTACATCAGAACGCATCCAGTCCGATGGAAACACGAATCAGTTTCGTATTGCCTCAAAAATGCCAACTGCCTGTGATTCATGGCACCCGGACGATACCTACGAACAAATTTGGCATTACGTACATTTCTTTATTAGCGAGAAATTTACTGAATCGACACTCACCTCCTAATGAACTCGACAGCATCTTCGCTCGTCATTCCCAAGTCCATAAGAGCGAGCGCCACCAAAACGGGTGCCCTGGGGCGATCCGATATAAGTGATTTATTAGATGAGCCGCTAGAATGACAAAATGATACTCACCTCCCTAATCCCGCTAAGCAATGCACCGCTATGCAGCAATCCGGATCTTGCCTAAATGTGGTTTTAACGTGCTTCAACCAGTCGGAGATGATTTTAGGAGGAGGAGGAAAACCGTCCCTGAACGTCCAGTCCTAAAAGAAAACCAATTTGGTTGGTGATAAAGGAGGGAGGAGCTTTTAAAATGCAATAAAGACACTTACCAAGACTTGGATACCTTCCAGTTCGACTAGCTGTCTGTCGTAAGTTGCCTCGCACACCCTCACTAAATGCTTCACGTTACGCATTTGCAATTCCTATACGGATAAAACGAATAATTTAATTATTACCAGTTGTTTCCTCTTCCTAATTTATCGCGGGGGTTAAAATATTAAACATCGATTTCCTTTATCCTATGAAATCTATGTTAACTAACCCATATCCTGTGTAATAAACGTAAATTTGAATCTTGCCTCCTCTGTACCACACGAGACGTTTCAAAGTATTCATAAAAACTAAATCCATTATTTTATGTAAATTTCGTAAATTCGCACAAAACAACCGATTTAACAGATGATATTGTCGATATCGAGTATATATTTAACTAGATCCTGGATCAATATCGATTTCAACAGCGCGTTTGTACGTGTTTATCTATCAGAAACGCGAATATTCCATAAATCAATAGTATAGTAGGAAAAAATATTCCCTAAATCAGGAAAATTCCTCGTTTAGGGAATATTTTCCCCACTGGGTTAAAGTCATCTTTCTCCTAGGGTTTTATCCTAAAATGTCCCCATAAAATTTAAGGGCACAGGGAAATCCTACGAATAAAACCCTAAGATTTCCCGAGAAGTAACAAGGGGGAAAGATCTTAATTAACTACCAGCTCGTTGTTAGTGCGTTATAATGTCATAAAATCCTCATTAATTAAACTATTTTTCCCTGTTAGGAATTTTAGAGGTTTATAAAATTTAATTAAGAAGGTTGAAGCTCGTTGAAAATAAATTGAATTATCACGTGTCAGGAACGTTTCTCGGGTGCGAGAAATTAAATATTTCCGAAATAATCACTTTTTTAAAGGACAATTGGATTCTCAAAACGAAGCGACACAACAAAATTTCTGAGAAAACGAAGGGTTTTTCCAGTTTCCCATACGACGATAACACGCGCCAAGCGCTGACGTCATTTCTGTCGCCACACTGTATTGTCAACACAAGTATTACCTTTACAAAGGAAGCGATATTATCGTTGGACGGGCTCTCTAATATTAGAAATTTCCTATTCCTGAACGTGATGTAGGCGGGACGGGTCCTAATTACTTTAGTTTTAAACGACGACGACGACATTTTGAAACTTCATGTGAAACTACCTGTAAAAAAGGGAGAAAATTACATTATTGTAGGCCTACGTAAATTTTCCAATTCTTTCTCACGTTATTAAAAAAATTCCCAGGCCGTGACGTCATTCAGGAAATATTCCCTACGTGACGTCACGCAATGGATTATCAAATCTGATTAAAAATTATACAATGTTATATACTTCTGTAAAATTTTATGGTTACTGAACGATATTCCCTAACTTTCCCTATTTAGGGAATATTTCCTGAATTGAGACGTTCTGCGGCAATTTAATAGTCTTATTCCCTGTTACATTTTCATTTTCATAGAGAGTATTTTAGCATTAAAATACTGTATATGTAAAAACAGTTTTAAAAAATTCATCGACTTAGAGAATATTTCCTAAATTCCTTAGAAATATTCCCTACTCGATCGTCCCATTTACACGTTTTAATATAATTTATCGATTCACATCGTGAAATTTAACACGTGAGTAAAGTTTCCCGTATCGGGAATATTCCCTAATAGCTTTAAATTAAAAACAATAAAACGTTTACGCTTAGGGATTTTTCCCGTCACGATAATTAAGCTGGTGGAGGTTCCGTGACATTTTTTAGACATTGTTTATTACCGCAGTAGTCCCGGAGTTTCGGATGAATGCTACTGATATTTCATTAAAAAATGCAAAACTTTAAACAATTCCAAAATGGCCGACACATTGTTGATATAATTACAAAACACAAACGGTCAAGGATAAAGATAATGAGACGTGTTTTGCTTGATTGTCGTGTATAAGAAAAGTCACGCGAGACGTTATGATTCGAGTCAATAATGTGTATATTTACCTGACAGGACAGATCGGTAGAAGGACGACAATAAACACGCTCTGTTACATATCCGCTCGACTACTTCCCTTTCACTCTACTTTTATATTTCTCTTCGACTCCATACGCAATTTCCGGGTTTTGTAATAAGCGTTATTAACGTACAATGTATATCGTTTGGAAATTTAATTATCTCATTATATTCTGCGCTGTGGACTCTTTAACAAGAGCTAATTGCGTAATAACACCTACTGACATTTAATACAGTATATTCCTGTATGTAAAATATTCCGTTGTACGTTCAGCCTTTGTACGTGTTTATACGATCTTTACCTCTGAAAACAATGGAATTACAAATAGTTTTTCCATTACGGAAGGTATCTCGATTGAAGAAATCGGATGATAAGGATTCAGGAACTAAATTAAGGCATTCAGGCATTCTTAATTTAAGGTATACAAATGGAGAAGATATATGTTTGGTAGATCAAGTCACATAACAGTCAGTGGCGCGTTATCGTACGAGCAAAATGGGCAATCGACTGAGTGCCAACAGGGGACCCCAAGCCAATCTTTTATAAGAAAATGTTTCTTATAAAACACTCCCCCGAAGAAAAATGCCTGAAGTCAATAGAGATTTCAACGCAAAACCGTGTACATCGGACGTTCAGCGCCGCCTTCCCGTGAGCCTAGAAGTTTGACAATGGCGTTTGGAACATCGAGCATGATTTTATATAAGCATTTCCTTTATCGTGGTAATTTTATAGCATCTTTCAAGGCCTTCTAATACTGATATTGTATACTTTTACACGTATTAAAGTGAAATCAAGCCAGAAAATGACGTAGTTAGTAACAACCACAAACTTAGGTGTGATCACATGATCGTAATCCATCCGTTTAAATCCACTCATAAAATACAAATACTCGTTTGACCTCTTCACACGAACTAGGCTTAAAATAAAGCCGTAAAAACAAACATTTTGATTTCTACAACACGTGTGCATATTAATTACAGAGAAATTTCCTAAAAACTAATAAACACGACGATATTTTTATTAAAAACGTTCGGTTTATATTTTTGCATTCTCACTCACTTATTCCCCGATCATCGAGGGAGAAAACACGAAAATTCCTTGAAAATCGACGCGAAAGGTCGCATTAGGGAATTTCCTTATTCTCTAACCCGACTTTAAGGTTTTAATTGAAAATTATTACTAATTCATTTAAGCATTTTGAGGATAATTTCCAATTTTGGGGAAAATTTAAAACGAAAAAGAAACTTTACAGAAATAAATAATATAGAAATTATTATTTTAAAATAATTTCGTAGTTATTTGTCGAAATTTAATAATTAATAATAATTTCAAAGTCCATCTGTGAGATTATTATTAGGCGGTATAAGGAAACAGCTGATCAAATTAACAACAAACGTAGGAGGGGAAATTCCCTGGACTATCGATGTCACTCCCACGTTTAGTTTAGAAATTATATATTATTTTATATAACCGACAGGAAAATCACGATTTAAAAGTGAACTAATTTTCCTTAAAGACAGGAAAATAATTAAGAAAACTAAATAAATAAAAACGCCAAAAGGGATATTTCCCTTTCGTATAGTTTATATATATAACTTTGAATAGATAAGATCATAGTGGAGAGGGATTTTATAGGCTGAAAACTGGGTTACACTTTACAATAGGGTAATTTTTGGTAGGGGAATTGGTGGGGAGGTGTTTAGGGACATAAATAATAGAAAAAACTCACCTTGTTTAACGAACGAGTATAATCCACAAGCTACAGCATATACCCGTACGCGGACACTACTAATTTCAAATTGGCATTACCTCTTTCCGTGCAACAGGGTTTGACTTTCTCGCATGCTCCGCCATTGGTTGGGGCTGGCCACGTGACCGGGTGGCCATTCAACTTCGTCAAGGTCAGTTATCCGCCGCTGCGTCATACCGATGACGCCGACGGACGTAACAGAATTCCCCCCATTTAGCGCACATTCCTGTTTGTAGCACTATCGATTCTTTTCATTCTCTCATGGGGATTTAACGCGTTTAAGCCGCTTACTGATAAATTTTCTTTTTGTGTTTTAAAAGCACGTGGGACGTGTGAATTTTTTGACTGCGTGTAGATGGCTTTGAGCGGTTGAAAAAATTGTTCTAGTGGGGTAGTATTAAACCCAGAGGAAAAATTACGCTGCGAGGTCACAGATGTCAAGTAACGGAACCATGAACTACATCGATAAAAACGATACAATGTAACCATATTTGAGTCATTTTTACGCGTTAAATTGGGAGGAAAATGTACTTTTATAAAATATTTTCATAATTTTAAGCTTTCGCATCTTTTGTAGCCGTAAATCCTCTTTAAATCGTTATCTGTGTCAGTACATCTGTACCCAAAAACCGTGTCATTCACGTGTCTCCTACTGACAAAAATTTTGAAGTATTCAATGGTTTTTTCACGTGAAATTTTGTGTTAAATTACGTAAAAGTCCATTGTTTGGCACACAAATAAAAATTATAACAGAATGTTCCCAGCAAAGATAATACAATGATGAGGGGTTAACGGCATTCCTAGTAGCGCGGGAACTAAATCGGCATGGATAATTAATTCATTTCAAAACTGAACACACGATAAATATAATAAATGCATTTTACTGTATGATAAATTTGCCATTTTAATTTTCTAATAATATGAATTTAAACTGTCTGCAGGGCATTTCAGAGTTTTTAAAAATGTCTTCTATCTCCAACCTCCTACGAAATCCTGTTTGACATGTGGTTATATTTCTGTAAAGTTGTAATGTTTATATAAAGCGGCTTTTCTGAATATATCTGAAGACAAATATACGATAAGGGAAACTACCTTTCTTATCTATGTATATGACATCTAAAAATATTTTTGATTCAATCTTTGATAATTCAATTTGCTTTACTGTTTCTGCTTGATTGCTGAAGTGTTTTGATGACAGATAGACAGTGCTGTCTCCAACAAATTTTGACCTTTTGCAAACGAGGAAGCTTAACACAGACACGAACAGAAGTTAGTGCAGCACTTTTTCCAGAAAACGTCATAAAGGTATCAGCATCTACAGGGAATTTAATAAGAGAAAACTGAACTTTCTACTGTTTCATAAAGGGAGAAGTGTGTTTGAAGGGGGTAATTCACCAGCAAAACTTGGATTTTGAACCTTCTAAGTGGAATTCTATCCTTGTGGATTTTTATATAAGGTCACTTCCTAGAAAAATGACCTTTTAAAATGCAATAATTCAACTTAAATGACCTTAAAACAACCCATACAACTTCTTAATCTTTAGATATTGTTCAAATGGATACAAAATTGCTTAAAACCATCTCTTCTTTTAGCTATACTCATGTTTTTAGCTCTTGTACAAAATTAGGATGTTATATTTTGTGATAATGAGTGGTTTTATAGACTATAATTACAAGATTGTAGGGTGACCTTATGTGATATTGTCCACTTCTACTAGTAGGGTCCAGAATTGAGTGTAAATTTTCTTTTGATCTACTCATTTAATTAAAAAGAAACTTACTTTCTTCTCAAGAAACATTCAAGAACTTAATTTATAAAAAGAGACATTAAAGACAGATTGGGGCAGAGTAATCAATTGAAACAAGCTTTTCTCACAATTATCCTTAATGAGATTTTAAAACCCCTTTAAGGATAATTGAGAAAACAAGTGATTCTCCATCATTGTAAGAGTTAACGGAAGCTGAAGATTTGTTTTCGGTTAAAATATCTGAAATGTTTAAATTAATTAAGCTGCATGATCAATGAAGTGTAGCTTGACCTGCATTCTGTAAACTCACTAGTGTGTCTACTAAAAATACTTTTATGCCAGAGAAAACTATTTATCTAATAGGAAAACTAAATGTATTATTAATAAAAGGATGATTTATAATAAGGGAACAAACAATGAACAAACAAATTTTAAAAATGCAAAATATCTATCGGATGTCACAATAAATACATTTTGGACACTAGCAGCATGACACAGGAAAATTTCAATGATGAAGCAATTAATACCTTCTTCAAAGAACTTGAAGACTTAATTTATGAGTAATATTTTTTAGGAATAAGAACTTAAAGATATGTCAAAAAATGAATCAGTAAATATGTTAATGTCAGGATGTTTATATTAGAAAAACTCAATTAGATAAATGCAATCAAAGGTTAGATAAAAGCAATTTTGATGCAAAACATATATACTTGCTGATAATTTAGCAATGCTTTATCATTAAACCATATTCCTTGTTTAAAATAAAGATTTCATAAGTGGACGACTGGATGCGTATTAACTTGCCAAAGTTTTGTGGCAGGAATTTATGCTCGAGTAAAGATATTTTTCCATACAAAATCTGTATTAGGTAATATTTTAAGATTAAGGTAATCCACAGAACTGGGACAAAGAACAATGTAGATTTTTAAAATGTTTCCTGATAATAAAGTGCTTTCTTTCCTGTGATGCTAAGAATATTGTTCAGGTTGAATTCTTTCTATAATCCTTTCCTTAAAATTTATAAAAAAAAAAGAAAAAACAAATGATGGGATGTTATTTTTTGAAAATTGAACTTGTAAACAATTGTAGAGTTAATTTTATACTGAAAATGTTTGTTGTTAGAGGAACTTCGGTGAGTGAGCTGTTGTGTTTCTTATATTTCAGAAGAGTAAGCAAAAAAATAAAGCAGTTTAAATTATGATAAAATGTTTTCTTGACCTCTGTTGATAGAAAATGTATCTATCAGACCTACCAACTACTTAAAAATATTTACAGAAGTAATTCACATAGACAGAAAGTCATCAAAATATAATTTAATTATTAAAATCTGTAATTAAATTACTGTATAATTAAGATAGAGTGCAAACAATGTTTTATGACCGTGTAAATGCAACAATTATAATTCCGAATGAGTATTTCTTTGAAAGATCAGCATCCTCTTTCGTCGTCTCCGTCCCAGCAGTCAAATACACCATCACACACATTTTCCTGAGGAAGACAGCGACCCAATCTACATCTCGTACTGGAGCAGTTAGTTTTTATCTCTTCTAATACTTCACTGGCTGTAATAAAGAATATAGATTATTTAATTTTGTAGGAATGACGTACGCACTTGCACAAACAGAATAGCCCAAACATCAGTTAGTTTATTATATAGTTAGAATTCAAAAAAGCCTATGATTCAGTTGCTTTTATCAAAATGACCTGAATCGTGAATAACAACATACCACTGTTTCAAACTATTTTTAATCATTCTTCACATGTTGGTTTCATGGATTCAGACTAATGCATTTGCATAAGACTAGGGCCGTCCAGAAAGTGACAGAAACTAGAGACAAAATACTGTTCACATTCTGTCCTTATTGCTATATGTTCATAAAAGGGAAAAAACAAAAAAATTGTTATGTAGAAGCCCTAATTCTTCAGGGCCCAGGGAAATTTCTTCTTTTTGGTCTCCCTCTGGGTGCAGATCCCACACTTGATTAATGCTCAGTTTTTGACGTCTTGAAAAAGCTCCACATTTGTATTAAACCATGGAAAACATGGAGCCAATTAACCACTTAGTTAACTGACATTTGGGCCACCCTTTTATCTCATTAATTATACTGTATTCAGATTGTTTATTATACTGATAATGTAATGCTTGATTTATAGAACTTTGCCAATATTCTGACAAATATTTTCATTAGCAAAAATAAATTTTAACCAAAAATAGCTTGGTAATTTGTCTATATTTTGTTTAGAATTCGCTGTATCATTGTAAATACATTTAAAGCTAGAGATTAATTTAACTTTGCAATTGAGAGAGAATATTTATGCATATTTCATCATTCTAATAATCAAATTTCTGCATAGTTATATTTTATTTTGCTTTCCTACTGTGAAAGTCACATATGTATATTAAATAACCCACAAAATAATTTTAAAAAGCTATTAAAAGATAATAAAGACAGTAAAGGTGTCAGTCAAGTTTGAGTCCAAAGTCAGGCATCTGAAATTTTCAGGGTTTGATATAAATACATCACCAGATTACTTCATTGTGGTTGGCTGATCCATGATATACATAGAAAAACCCTTTTAGTACCTGCAGGACATACATGCATACATACATACGTGAAAGACATCAGCCATACACAAGATGTTTAGCCGGCAGAAAAGAGAATAAGGAAAAGAGGAAAGAGGAAGGGAGAGGAGATAGACAGTAGGGAAAGGTAGGATCCCTCTGAACAGCGTACATATGGCTACTGTACCCTCTACGTTTGATGTTGTCATGCAGTTTTTAGGCTGCAAGGCTGTAGTCCCCGAAGAGTCTAAAAGAAAACCAGAGTGTAGCAAACATCAATAATAGAGTGCCACCACAAATAGCTAAGTGTAAATGTTAGTGCCAAGTGGTTGTTAGTAGGAAGAGTTATATCTACTTAATACTAATAAAACTGAACACGATCACAAATCTTAATACTATTAACAGGTAGACAGACAGAGTGGAAAACAAACAAATACAATAACAAACTAGTCAAGACAAATAGACTAACAGAAGGCAAACAAGCAAGACCCCAATTTATTTACTAATTTATTTTTTATACATTAACTTACTAACTAAACTAACCTACCATAACACAGGATGAACCTAACCAGATGACTAAAGCTAACAACCCTAATCTAATTTAACCTAACCAGAAACCAAGCTAAGAGTCCCTAATCTAACTTACAACTAGGACTAACTTAAACTAACTGAATTTAGACTGAAAAGAAGATGGAAAAAGAATTAAAATACAAAGTTGAAAAGCAGCTATATACCAACAGTTGAAACAAAGCAAGGGAAAGCTAATTGCCATTCGTGCTCCCGAAGTGAGTGCTCTTTTACAAGCTCCACTAAAGGATATGAATGTGAGTAGATGATGGAACATTGTACATGTGTGAATGAGTTGGTGTGGGTTGCATGGCCAGTTGTACCCTTCAAGAATAGCAGCTCTCATTAAACTATCCCTAATGCAATTGTACCTATTGCAGCGAAAAACAAAGTGAAATGGTATTTGGTACTACAATCACATCGTGGATTATCTCCAAGGTTAAATCTATACAAGTATTGCTTAAAGTTGCCATGTCCCATAAGTAGCTGACTGAGGGTGTAACTAGGGTAATAATGGCAAAGAGTCACAGTTGTGTCAACCTTGGGGACGAAAGTGTAGGTGAATCTACCAGTGGTGTCGAGGTCCCAGCTGTCTTCCCAGAGAATGAAGATTTGCTTCTTGTTGCGATTGTTGATGTACAAGGTAGGAATGTAACTGAAAGTACTAGTGACTGAAGACTTTGCAGCCTGCAGGACAGAGAGAGTTTAGAAAGGTCTCTCAGAGCATTTTTATTTACACTCACTTTCAAATGAAAAATGACAAGTCAGATCAGTACTGAGGGGAAGCTAGGGATTTTTCTCTAGGCCCAGAAAAAACTAGAGATTATAAATTAATGTTATTTTTACTAATAAAAATACAATCATTTAAGACTGCTTTCTTTAAATAAACATTTTATATATTTCATTTATTAAAAAAATAAAATAAAAGAGGCCCACTTATCAGCTAAATGACCTATTAGCTTGCCATGGGGCAAGCTAATAGTCTTTTCCTGGACCCCATATGGGGGTCCAGGAAAAGACTATTAGCTTTTTCCTGGACCTCTCAATGGCCCTGATGTTTGTGTAAAATCTAAAACGTTTTAATTTAATTTTGAAAATGCCATTCAATTTTATATTATTTTTTGTCACGATTTATAAATATCGTGACAAAAAAATTTTATGACAATATGTAGAATTTTTAAGCAGAATTTTTAACATAATATAAAAATATATTGAAGCAAAAATCAATCTTACAAATAGATAAAGTTAATCAGATAGGATGTAAAAGAAAGAGAAATTAAATTTCATAGCAAAGTCTCATATAATTTATACAATTTTGTTCCTCAAACTTCATATTACACCAGCATAGGATAACAAAGAAATGCAAGATTTTAAGATGAAATCAATCATATCAATCCTGCTCATATCTAATCCATAAGATATCATTTAGTTACAGAATACATAATTTATAAAAAGTCTATGTTTGCTAACATGTTATAAAGTAAAAAAGAAACATACCCAGAACAGAACGAATCCAGCTAATATAATTGGTTACTTTGGTATACACACCAGGTCGACCGGCTCTGGCACAACCATCTCCATTGCTGGTGATTCCCATCAAAACCCAATGACCATCAGCCTTCTGACACATCATGGGCCCTCCAGAATCACCCTGAAAAAATTTACGTAAACAAGATGAATTAAATTGCACTTATGTTTGTACAGTACTTTATAGAAAGAAACTAAATATTACATGAAAGTCTGCAGTTCCAGACTAAAAATATTGAATTAAGTTTTGATTGAGTTTTACTAAAATTCATTTCATACACTTTAAATGATCTTTACTATATTTATCCTAAATACCAACCATTTTATGTCGCATTAAAGCCTTCGAATCGCAAAATCTTGTCAGCAATAATATAAACTTAACATTACATAACTGAAGAGTAAGTTATTTTGAAAAGTTAATAATTCAGTACTTATTCAAATTTCTGATATGTATTCTATGTCAGATGTTCCTAGACTATATTACATCCACGATCAGATATAAGTGAGCATATCAAGTTGCAGGTATAGAATATCTATAATTAAATGATACAGAATGCAGCAGCAGTTCTTAAAGTATATGTACCACCATCAGTTAATCTGTAAGTCACTGTACGGATCATCGGCGGTCGGCAAACAAGTCTTGGAAAAACACCCGTCTGGTGGCCAGTATAGCTAAAATAACCGTCGCATCCCGTAGATAAAAGTCGTTCAGCATCAAATTCGGCCATTATCCCATTTCAACGTCTTAAAACTTGCAGAGACTCAAGATCAAATTACCATCCCGTTTATTATAGAAAACATTCCACATTAAAAACTATATGATTTGATCTAGTAGACTAAAACTGGATCATAACCGAATCAAATAGTAGTTCTTAATTAATCGTTTTTTATCAGTAGTAACGAACAGGAATTACGTAAGAATAGAAAATATCATTAAAGGTAATTAATTTTCACGAACTTAAATAAAATAAATAGTAGTACTTTTATAACTAGGGTTGCCATAACTACCAATCATTGATATGGGACATTTATTTAAGTGTTAAATAAATAAAACACGAAAAAAGTGGGTAGGTAATGGCTTATTTTACTCCGCTTAAACTTTATTGATTTTTTTATCAACCTAATAAAATGAATACGTAGAATAATAAAAAAATGCCTTTTTAGCCCAGTCATATTTTAAAGTTGATTTTACTTTCTTAATTATATCATTTTCTTCATTTTAAAATTATAACAACAAATCGAAATTGCTTCAAATATCTCCACCGACAACCATTGAGTTGACATTAGGGAAAATATTCTCTCCACATTTGCATTGTGGGCTGGAATGGCAAATACTTATTGGCATAGCTTTATTAGACACCACTTCTGATCAATGCTTTGTATCTGCAAAAAACTTCGCCCGTTTCTCTTCCACACTCAATTTCATAGTTGCTTGGCAGTTTCGATTGGTATTATTTTTCTCTAAATAATCTCTTACATATACAAACTGGTTGAACGGAATCGATTACTTGTAAATATGCAATAGTACGTTCTGTTTCTTCCCATTCAGGAACTTGGTGAGAAAACGGGACAGATAATAATACAGGACCCAGTAGTGAAAAACGGTGGCAAACCTATTTATAGCAACACTTTTTGAATAAAAAAGTAAAATTGAATTTATTTAAACCAATAAAAACTTTTTACGTAAAATGCAATTTTAGCATTTAGCACAGATTCTTCTCGAAGGTGCTCGTTATACAATAGACGATGATTTTTTACCCTTTGCATATACGAAATTTGGAGTTAGGCAAAATAATTCCGAAATAAATCACCAGATGGCGCTAGTATAGGAGTCGCGATACCCACCAAACAGGCGTCGCGACCTCCGTTCTCGTATCCTGCGCAGAACATGTTATCGGTTATCTGGTAGATCGGCAGGAAAACTGTCCTCCTCCTACATTCTTCGGACGAAATGACCGGAAGTTCGACTTCCTGAAGTGTGTCCGCTGCAAGAAAAAAATGGCCAAACTTTAATTGTTTTCACTGCACGCGCTGCAATTGCGTAACATTGGCCTTCGACTATGACGCAATATTACTCACGGAAGGCGTGTCCTTCTTCCATCAGTTTGCCCCATCCTATAACCGTGCAAGTTTTTCCTTCCCAATTTGATATATGTTCGCTAGGTGTGGGTAGACATATGGGACGTATGTGATCACTAAATACGGGATCCTCGTTAAAAGAAGATCTTTTTATAACTTGGAAATACTGTGAACCGGGCCCTACCTGAAAGACGTGGGTTGGTCGAGCTTCAACAGCGCTATATCATTGATGAAGCCCTTATCCACGTATTCCGGATGAAGAGCGGCGTATGTTACGCGTCTCACCTCTTCGTACGGGGTTGGGATTTCGTTGCCTCTACGGAGCAAACCCAGGCGGGCCTTCCAGTGAGAGGATCGAGTACTGACGAGGAAAGAAACTATATAACAAAGGATAAGATGAGCTTTTTCGGCGTATAGAGCAGAAACACTTACTGATAGAAACAATGGCCAGCAGATAAGAGCCACGAATCTGATATGAGCACCCCACCACACTGAAATTGGCCTTCTCTGTAGAGGGCCGCCTGCCAAGGCCAGGTGCCTCTAGTCACGCTGTTTCCTCCTACGATTCTCTTAGTGGATGATTCGGATGCCGATTTGATCCCGCATTCTGCAAATGATAAAGCAAATTCCATTAGTAAAATATGTAATGTAAAACGTGAGCAATCTCAAAGTACGCTAATTAGCGGTGCTAAGTCAGCCACGCGATGGCAAACACCTATTTTTAAAGTCAATTTTCATGATAAATGGAACAAAGATATGGCGATTTATATCGCGCAATCTTCGGGTCGTTCGTGTAATTTCATAAAAAATTATTATTTATCAACATGGCTTAATTGACGTTTAGATTCATTGCAAAAGCAATACGTGAAACGCTAGAACAGATAAACAATTCGTCTAATTATCAAAGAAATCGCATGATTTAAAGTTGCTATCGCGAAACCACTTTTTTAACTCCAATGTTTATTCGGTGCGTCACGCGACTGATTGAAATCCATCGCGCGATGTTCCACCACGTGCCGCACTCCAGCCAATGATTTACAACTAAAATTAACGCGCACAAAACACAACACCAACTCACCCAAATTTCTGCACTTGATCCGGACCACTTTCCCATCTTTACATCCGGAAGGACGGAAATTAACGGAAGACCTGAAAATTTAAAAATCACTCAGGTGATTTTGGTCAGCGAAAATTTTAAAACACTTAGCGGCAGTCAATTATGATGCAATTCTACACGCCAAGCTGATATTTTTAAATTCCAAATTCATGAAAACACAATTCAATTGTCGAAATGACGTAATGACATTTAAATTATCAGTGTGTTATTTTCGTTTGACATTTCGTCACGTGATACTTTCTTTTATCGCCAGACTCAACTGATAACGTCACTCGAGCAGAAAAATATAACAAAAGAATATTTTGCTAATTTTGCACTTACTTTTTCGTGGGTGGAATCAAATCGTAGTAGAGATTCTCGCGAAATTTGGAAGGTAAGACCACTATCGACTCTAAATTCCTACGAAATTAACAATAATAAAATAACTTTTATAATCATCAAAAATCGACGAAAATTAACTTAATAATTACAAAAAAATTATATAAATGAATCGTGTAATAAAATTAATTAAATCACGAATAAGTAACAGACAACAACTGTTTCTACAAGATAGGGAAATTCCAAGAATTTTCAGAATGTGGGGACTTTTCGGTCACAGTAAAAATTGAGCAAATCTTCGAAATTTTATATTTTTATACTTATTTAGTGCGTTAAAAATTCCCCATCAATCGGGTATAGGGAATTTCCCCATTGAACTTTTTGCATTACTTTTATAAATAAATCAGATACTAAGAACTCCCCGCGATAATTAGTAAATTTTAGGCCAGTTTTAGATTTTTTTCTTACTTGTAAGTGAGAGCCGAGCAGATGGTGTTGCCCAATCTCTCCACATCGAATTTCCCCCTCTCGATGACGTCATTATCGTCCAAGCACAACTTTTTCCACTCTCCTCGTCTCTGTATCATCAAATATCCCTCTTTTGAATAAATATGGCTTTCCACATCATCGTCACTCTTCGCTAGCTTCACTAAAAAAAAAAATTGAACTTTTTAGGGATATCTCCCTGTTTATCCCTACAGTCAGATTTCTATTAAATATAGTATGGATTCGTAAAGAAAATTTATTGGTCAATATTTATTTTTTTAAATGCCGTAAATACATGTTAACTTGGTTAACAGCTCCTTAACGACCGATCAATAATTAACGGGCGTTGAAAGTCGCCTATTAAATTTAACGTTACAAATTAATGGATATTGATAACCCGATGCCTCATTGGAAAACCCTTTAGGGCTTTTAACAGGTTTTAATTTTAAAAAAAAATTGACAAATACACCTTAAGAGGCCTTCATCGATAAATTACTGGGCATTAATTTTCGGATCTTTTAACGTGACTTTCACTTAAGGAAATCGTTTCAGGGTCATAAGAAGAAGAAAAGTTGTGAAATTTTATTGTCTTTTCGTTTGCCTTTAAGCATATCGAGCCTTTTCCTTATTGAAAAAAAGGCCGAACATAAAAATAATTAAATCGTACATACTACACGAGACCTCATCGAAGCCAGAAGGGCAATCCTGGACACCATCACACATTTCACTTTTCTGTATGCATTTTTTTGATCCTGGGCACAAAATAGGGCCCGAGCACCAAGCTAGAAAAGAAAAGAATTCTTATTCTTTTATGTTATGTCGGAAACCTCTAGCGAAAGATTCTTTTATACTTACGACACGATAACTCGTCGCTGTAGTCCCAACAATCGTAAAAACCGTCGCATATTTTCTTATCTTGTCGAAGGGCCCTGAGAGCCTCTGTACAACCTGAAAAAAGTTATTATAGTAACAAGGCATCTTTTCGCGTAAAGGATCAGTTCCTTCCACGGGTACTTACTGCAGTTTCTTTCGTCTGACTGATCTGTACAGTCCAGGCGTCGATCGCAACGTGTTTGAGAAGGAACGCACTCGTCGTTAGTACAGTGGAAATCGCTTTCCGAACACTCTGTACAATAGCAAATCCTTCAATCACATCATCCACAAAAGGATACGAGATTAGCCAATAGACTGACCTGAGAGATCGTTGCGAGTTTTGTCTAGATCGAGCCCTTCGCGTAAAAGGCCGCTATCGTTTTGGGGTTGATATCCCAAGAAGTTCTCATTCTGCTCACCCTCGGACGGAAGAAGGGAAGAAGGTAACACTTTGGCTAGCCCTACAGAAGTCTCTCCTTCCTCTTTGGCACTAGAGTTACTTAACATATCCGGAAGTGAGGTAATGTTCTCTGTCACATTACTTTCCGGAAGTGATGTTGTGGTGGTCACGCAACTTCCAGGGCAAGCAAGCTCTATAATATACATAGAATTAAAACAGGAACAATGATGAAAAGGGCTAACGATGAGAATAAAATACCTGTAAAAATTATAGATTCGGGTGGGATGACGAGATCTTGGAACACATCACCGTTTTGGATCTCTTGCAAAAGCACTGTTCTTGCCAGATGCGTGATACCTTGCAACTCTGATGCTTTTCTTCTGTCCAGGTGTAATCTGAAGAACACTACAAGATTCGGCTCCCTGAGGGAGTCATTAAGTATGAGCATCAGCAAGTATTAAGGATACTAAAATCAAAAGTGTAATTACTGACCTGAATGCATATACTTTGACGTCATGCAAGACGTGTTGAAACATACTCCTGAGGAAAGTGCTCCTCAACTAGAAAAAGGGATTTTTCAGTATTATGCACTGAACAAACGAAGTCGAAAAGAACAAGGAAATGCTTACCCTGCTCTCATAGTTTAAAGCCTTAAGAGCAAACCTCTCAGAACTAGCATCTAACAAAGAAGTTTCGAATTGCTCACCCGCGCTCACCCACATTTCTCCAAATATATGAAACACTAAAAGAGTATAGTTTAAAGGTTAAAAGAGATACATAATATTGAATGGGATATAAAAAATGACCACTCACCTGGAGAAGTATAAAGAGTGGTAAGCACTGAAAACAGAAAAAGGCATTTAGAAATATAAAACCCGATGGATAATAATCTACACACTTGTGAAGTGATCTCTACAAACGAAGTGTTCGAAATATGTAAAAGTTCCTGTAATCCACTCACCTCCAAAATATACAGAAATGCCCAAAGCGGTCAAGAATGCCAAAGCTGTGAAGACAATGGCTACTACGGTTGCTGCGGAAGAAGGGGTACAACACTTGCATAGCCATAGAGCCTTCCTCTTGTATTTCCAGTAGCAAGTGCAGCTAGGAGTCTCGGGTCTCTTGCTTCTGTTAGCGTAGGGGAGGTAATCCGCTGGGAACGTGGACACCAACGCCAAATTATCTAGTCGAGGCTGACAGAAAAGATCCTCAATTAAGATGAGTAAAGGATGACGTCAGGGCGCGATCAACGAAAACAGGCTAATCAGAATTTCACACTCGGCGAGTACGAAGGTGGTGGTGCTAGAAATCAACCACGTGACGCGCTCTTTAGCAATAGAGGACTTACTATCGATGAAAATCGATACTCACCATGCAGAGTGGAGAGCTTTTTAGAAACTGGGGCTGGCGGATAACGGCACGCGCATAAGCATAGAAGAGAATGCACGCAATTGCGAGCAATGGCAAGTTGCACGCGCGAATGGGAAAAAATAGTCACGCGTGGTGGACGATTAAACGAAGTTAGATGCGCTTGCCCGCTGCGTCACGCGGTCTCTACTTTCCGCGAGTGCACCACGTGATCTGTAACGATTCAGTATCACGCTGAATACTTGTGCATCTATCTAGGGCCTCCTACACTAACTACACACCGAGCGACACTCCTTTGTGATGTCACACATGTCCAGCAAACTTTTCTCTGGAGAACAGACAAACTTGGCCCAAATTCTATAATTAATTATGGGCCAAATGTTAAGGGTGTTATCCTCAACGTCACGGCTTCTATTTTGAATCGGACGTTAAACTTATGAGAACTAAGGAAAAAAAGAAACAATGGGGAAGAAGCATGGGAAAATCGGTGACGTAGCACTAATCCTGTATTTTATATATACTTTAGCCTTCAGTTAAAGATTCAGAAAGAGCATTTGGAACGTGAAAAACCGCAAAAGAGTGATCCTATGAGGCAACACGAGTGAGTGATCACGAAAGGGTGCTCTTATTTAAATGTCGATACCTACAAACAAATTGTAGCTCGTGGATCCCTTTTGGCTCCCAACGAAAGACCAATAAAAGTATTGTAACGCGAAGAGCCAAAAAATTAATCAATTAGAATGGTTGTAATGATGCAACATGGTTCTACAGCTGGGTGATTCGGAGGGATTTTTGCGTTACTTGTTCTTATCCAATTTCGGAAATTGGACTTTACCGAAATGAGTCGCGTGGCCCACTGGCGTACTTCTGCAAGAGCTATTATTCTGCTCTACATAGCCGTTGGGAAACGCGAAAGAGAAGTCGTGCATCTCACCTGTTCCCTACTCGCCTCCACCTGCATGACTGGCTGCTTGCAAACAGACGAGGAGAAAGTGTCGTACGTCCTTCTATTCTTCTCGATTGGACGGAAGTCACGTGACGGAATCAAGACATCCGTTCACGTGATAAGATACACTTTTCTAAGATGTCACACGATTACGCGTAGATCGAAAAGAACCACATTCGGTAACTCGACTCATTCTGGAAGTTCGAGGAAGTATTGATGCAAGTGAAACTGATAAACCCAAGCGAACGTCTACACCTACGGATCACGTGATCGCGAACAGAAAATAATTCTCCTTGATTTACAAACAAAGCCAGCATTTCTCTCGCCACAAAAGGCAGGAACACTTCAATGCCAAACGACACGGAAGCGTTTTTCGATTCTCTAGGGCGTATCCGTGGCCCCCGCAGCACCGTTAACGATCCTAAAACGACAACGTCACGTGACCGGCTACCGAAATTAACGGAGCTGGTTACAAGACGGCAATTTTGGGCCGAATTACACTCGCCCCCTCTCTTTTGCATTTTGCGAAATTGAGGACAGCGTGGTGCAATCCTTCTGACAATGGATGAGAGGGCTAATGACCGTAAGGAGGGGGTCGAAATTAAGATCCGAACAGCGTCACATGACTGGTTCCGCGATACGTGACGCGAACGACTAACTAACTAGGACCCTGAAAAGCTCGCGTTTTGTCAACATTTCGCCTTCTTCCAGGAATATTGGCCTTCCCCGCTGCATCGAAAGGGAAAGTGAGGTTGGCGTGGTCACCATCCCGCTGACCTTGCTAGCACCGTAGCTGTTCAAGGTCGAGAATTAAAGGCAATCCAGGTGAAAGTTACGTAAGTTTTTTCGCGATCCTGACCTTGCGGTGCGATTTTTTTGGGCTTGACCTTCGTTATTTTTGGAGTCACCATCGAGTTTCGCCATTTCCTTCCGTCACATGATATAAAAAACAATTTTCGACACGTGTCGCTTATCCAATCTTCCCCTTCACGTGATACGAGTTTAAACAATCGACCTCGACAAACAATGTGTCGCATTTCCTTTCATTATCAAGGGTCTCGCACAAAACCACAACCAAAAATACCCTCTTGTAACGCATGTAAAGGCTTCAAAAACTACAGAAATTCACCAGTTCTGTAACTTTCAAGGCCTTTCTATGATCGCGGGCCTTCGATTTCGTTACAGGAACGCGCGGTAAAATATGTAAATGAATATAAACATAATCAACCACGTGACCCATTCTTGAAGTAAATTCATAAGGCGGTCTCTTAAGTTAAGAGCTATTCTCTGAAGCAATAACCACAGAAAAGATATGGTGACGTTCACTATGAAGTGTACGAGGGCTGTATGAAAATAACGAAGCAATCGCAAGAACAATCGAACCATTCTGATTTCTAAAAGATACGAAACTCCTAGGAGGAGCTTCAGGATGATCTTATGAAACACCGATACTATTGTTTTTGTTTTTGCGGTAGCATTGACCAGATGCATGCTAGAGTGAAGAAGTAGCACAGTAGTACATTATAGAGACTCAATGACACGGTTATGAGGCCTTTTCCTCTCTCCTTCCATTAAAGGGTGGCATCTGAAATACGAAGAGCCTACAGTAAATATAGTTTTACAGCATTCATTATTAAAAACAAGAAAAGAGCCTTTCAGTAAGTGAAATCTTTCATTCCCTGCAGAGTTTTTAACGCCCTTCAGGAGCCAGTGAGCTACTCAGGATATTTTTAAAAGTTTACAGTACAGGAGGCCCTACGAATGGATCATTTAGAATAACTAAATCGCGTGTATGCCTACGCAAATTCGCACGTTTAGTAATAGAGGATCGAGTTTATGACTAGTTACCTAAACGAAAATAGGCTCCATTACAAAACAAAGAAGATTATTATGCCTATAGAAACAATCAAAGTTAATTAATTTGTCCTCGAAGCGGCTTTTAACACGAATATACAGTTGGAAGATCTCACTGAATTGGCCCTTTGCCTTTTTTTTAGAGATAAATTAACAGAAGGGAAAAGTTACTTACCTGTTTTGTACAGACTGTCGGTTTGGATCCACTGGAGCGTCACGTTTCTTAATAAACAACCGGCAGGCCCCTTATTAATTTTAACAGCAGGGTTCCCATATAATGCGCGTGGAAAATCGAAAATGTTTCTAAATACCTAAAGGGATCAACCGTAAAGTATTTTGGAATCTAGCCGAAGGCCCTAGCGTGCGATCATAAAAAGGGCCTACTTTTACATACTTACGTCTTCCATTTTGTTGCGTGTGCTAAGTAGGGCCCAGTGTGCGAATCGTTGTCTCACGCCACGCACATCTTTTCCTCACCTGGGTTCATTCACAGCGATGGATGGGGCGCGGGAACATCAAGCACGCGACTGTGTGACGAAAACTGAATCAGGCCGTGCGCTCGCGTGGCTAAAAATAGCAAACAGCGAACGTGTCCGTCTATTTATCTAACTGTGACGCAAGAATGAGGTCACACACATTCTCTGCTTTATTTACAAAAAATTTCAGCATTTGTCAATAATTACATTGCAAAGAAGAGCGTCGGGGTCGCGCCCCTTCCCCGAAAGGGACAAAATTATTTACAAGGAAGGAATAAATAAAAATGTCTGCCGAGATGATTATTGCTTTACGTCCTGGAGAGAAAAAAGGGGGTCTCAGATGAACTTGAAGCATTTCTGCTTGTCGTGGGGAATTCTAGTCTTGAAGAGCACCGAATCCACACGAAACTGGGTGTTCAGCAGGGGCATGTATCCATACACCTTGATGAAGAAATTGATACACTTGTGTCGCTCCTGGAAGTGAGAGTCTTCTTCAGATAAGGAAATGGGACAACCTGGACAGCGAAACGTCCACCTAGACGTCACCTGAAAAGGTGATAATTTGGACTTAATTTGCACCAATGAATCAAAGGAAATGAAAGCAACCAAAATAAGAAATTACATACCTTAATTGGTGGTTTTCTAGTAACATGTGAAACAAGAAAGTTCATGGCTATATCCTCACAGTTCATATATTCGTCCACTTTGTCTCTAATGGCTTGAGCCATCCAATGGCTATAGAGGTATGAATAGTACTGAAAAAGAATGTTTAGATGTGGACAAATGTTTATGCTATTACGCAATATTTCGAAAGTAAGTTACCTTGTGAAAAAATGCGGCTCCAGTAAGGACCATAGAAAGTTCACAAGAGTAATTGGAATTGTATAACCAGCTCTCGTGCTGAGAATCCCATGCATGATACCTCCCGGGAAAACCCACTATCCTATCTCTGGATTCTCTCCAAACCCTGCATTTGAATAAAATTACAATTGGCACATGAAAGGATTAAAAGTGTGACTATCCTCATTACCTGAATCCAAATATTATCTCATCGTGGCGCAGATGGGCATCGTCATCCATTGATAAAATTGCTTCGGTCTCAATGGTATCGTAGGGAAGAAATCTGTTATTTAAGCTGTTTTTCTTTGCTTTAATCACCTAAAGGTAAAACACAGATTTAAATTTTGAAATGATTCCTCATATTTTAAACTGACAGCCTAGATATGTAAAATGAAAATTTATAAACTAAACTGATATATATTTACCAAGTAACCAATATAAATGTTTACTTGTAAGAAGCAGAAGCAATGCTATGAGCTGTCATGAGAAACATCAATCATGCATCAACACCACTCAGTGTCATTAATTCTACTCATTACAAGTAAAGTTTTCATTTGATCATTCTGAAAATGCATACATTTCAGTTACCCAGATACATAAATGAAATACATGTCAACTTCATTACTAATAAATCCTGTACTTTGTTTTATACTTTGGTAACCAATCAACAAGCTTATTCATGAAATACAGCTCTTTGCAATGCTTCTAGAAGAGTGACATAGCTGCCTCCCTGACTTTCACAAATTGTTGTTATATCAATGTGTATGTGTATCTGGTGAGGAAGCTACATCACTCTTCTAGAAGCCTACAAAAGAAAGCTCTATTAAACGGTTGTCAACTATGTGCTCTGTTTCACCATTTTGTTGGTGTGTTTGCATACGTTTATTTTATTCTTGAGTAATATAAAGTAGTGTAAATTAATTTATTCTTGTTGAGGAATATTCTGTATGTCTGGAACAACAATAGGTGAATCTACTTACATGGATGGGTACTCCGATTTCCGGCCAGCGGAGGTCAGACGCTGGTGGTCTTGGACTATTCCACACCACAACCACTTTATTTAGAAAGGGCAGACCTCGCAATCTTTGAAGAGAATCTATCAGAACCGCTTCTCTTTCATAAGTCAGCATCACAACTATACAGAAACATAAATTATTATAATCTGCTATTTCTATATATTTTGGAAACTCAGCTAAACAATTTAAGAAGAATTAAATAATTAAAATTGTGGGCAGACTTATTAACTTATAGTACAAGACATTGCTGTATAACATATAACTAGAAAATAAGTCCCCAGGTTATTAATTAACATCACATTGTTAAGCTGTTACATTTATTCAATTATTGCATATTTTAATTTTATCTTTTATTATCTCTTTCAAAACCTTTTATTTCCAACAAAAATATTAATATTTACTTGCTTGAAAAAACGTTTTCGTATCTCTATCGAGAATGCTTCAGGTTCAATAATGTTCTAATATTGGAATGCCCAGAGTTCAAATATTAACTGCCACATAGTGCAACCGTTCAAATTATTTGATGCAAATTAATTTGGCTATTTATGTCCTACTCCATTATATAGGTCCATATTCTGCATATTAATGTTTTATCCCGGAATTCTCTGAATAAGATGTCAATATTGTTGAGGATCTTTCTGATACGCATATTGCCATGCGTATGATATAGTGTTATTGTCTTTATAGTTTATACAGTTCCCTGCTCTGCTTGCTTTGTATATTTCTAATTTTTCTAATTCCCTTATATGGTCAGTTTGGAATGATTCTTTATAAGAGTAGCATTCTCTATGTCTGCACGTATATCCTGATCTGATGCGTATGTTGCCAGTGCTGTTGTGTTGTTACCTCTGCTTATATTGTATTTATGTTCTTTTAGCCTTTTTTGTAATGATCTTTTTGTTGATCCTATGTACACCAAGTCTCATTGAAACCTATTATCTTTTGTTTGGTATGTATATTCTATTTGGTCTGATTGGTATGTATATTATATTTGATCGTTTGTTTAAGCAAGTAAATATTATTATTTTTACCGGAAATAAAAGGTTTTGAAAGAGAGAGTTATAAATTTCAGTACTTAATAGCATATATTTTATCTTTTATTTTGAAAAAAAGTTGAGAAATATTAAAATGAAATGATCTGACTCAGAATTAAAATGTTACAAAACATTAATGTTTTTCTTATGAAATATTCAAATTAATTTCATGCAAGACATTGTATTGGAATTTGTAATACATGAAATACACCATGCTCAGAATTCTAAGTACATAATAACAATGACATACAAGGTGTTTAAAAGTTAAATTTAAAAAAAATTAACTGCAAATTTTTACTATCCACAAAATTAGTATTCTTATTGAGAAAACTGTAATTATAAAGAGCAGAGAATAGAAAATACAGTCTTACTTTAAAGTTTGTAAACTATTAAATTCTTGATCTTAAGAATCAAAATCTAACAGAAATAAACAGACACAAATGTGCACAGTTACAAAATAACTTAGGTAGATAAATTACATTCTAAAAGTAACAAGAGTGCCAAAAGAATGGTTATCTCCCAAAGATTCTGTTACTGCATACTAAATTTATAAATCTAGCAAATACTAGACATCTTTTGTAAAAGAAAATGACCAGCACATTTCTGGTCGTGTCCAATCACATTATTTTTCTGCTTATCTTTTAGCAAATGAAAGACAGTGACAGCAAGAATTGAAGTGTATTCAAAGAGAATCTTAGTTTCCCATTTGAACATAGGCAAAAAAACATAAAATAAAGTCATTTCTTCTATATAAATGTAGAAAGTATTATTGTACCATGTTCCTGCTGAATCAAGATAAACTTGATTTAAACAAAATTTATTTAATATTTTACAGTTTTGTCTAATTACTTTTAAATGCTACAAGAAAGTTTAAATACAATGTTCATTTTTTTATGCAGGTTACAGATATAGCATACAGGTAGCAGGTATATGGCAGGTAAGTTACAGGTAAAGCAGGGGCAAGAATTTTAGCGTAGGGGAGGTAATCCGCTGGGAACGTGGACACCAACGCCAAATTATCTAGTCGAGGCTGAGAGAAAAGATCCTCAATTAAGATGAGTAAAGGATGACGTCAGGGCGCGATCAACGAAAACAGGCTAATCAGAATTTCACACTCGGCGAGTACGAAGGTGGTGGTGCTAGAAATCAACCACGTGACGCGCTCTTTAGCAATAGAGGACTTACTATCGATGAAAATCGATACTCACCATGCAGAGTGGAGAGCTTTTTAGAAACTGGGGCTGGCGGATAACGGCACGCGCATAAGCATAGAAGAGAATGCACGCAATTGCGAGCAATGGCAAGTTGCACGCGCGAATGGGAAAAAATAGTCACGCGTGGTGGACGATTAAACGAAGTTAGATGCGCTTGCCCGCTGCGTCACGCGGTCTCTACTTTCCGCGAGTGCACCACGTGATCTGTAACGATTCAGTATCACGCTGAATACTTGTGCATCTATCTAGGGCCTCCTACACTAACTACACACCGAGCGACACTCCTTTGTGATGTCACACATGTCCAGCAAACTTTTCTCTGGAGAACAGACAAACTTGGCCCAAATTCTATAATTAATTATGGGCCAAATGTTAAGGGTGTTATCCTCAACGTCACGGCTTCTATTTTGAATCGGACGTTAAACTTATGAGAACTAAGGAAAAAAAGAAACAATGGGGAAGAAGCATGGGAAAATCGGTGACGTAGCACTAATCCTGTATTTTATATATACTTTAGCCTTCAGTTAAAGATTCAGAAAGAGCATTTGGAACGTGAAAAACCGCAAAAGAGTGATCCTATGAGGCAACACGAGTGAGTGATCACGAAAGGGTGCTCTTATTTAAATGTCGATACCTACAAACAAATTGTAGCTCGTGGATCCCTTTTGGCTCCCAACGAAAGACCAATAAAAGTATTGTAACGCGAAGAGCCAAAAAATTAATCAATTAGAATGGTTGTAATGATGCAACATGGTTCTACAGCTGGGTGATTCGGAGGGATTTTTGCGTTACTTGTTCTTATCCAATTTCGGAAATTGGACTTTACCGAAATGAGTCGCGTGGCCCACTGGCGTACTTCTGCAAGAGCTATTATTCTGCTCTACATAGCCGTTGGGAAACGCGAAAGAGAAGTCGTGCATCTCACCTGTTCCCTACTCGCCTCCACCTGCATGACTGGCTGCTTGCAAACAGACGAGGAGAAAGTGTCGTACGTCCTTCTATTCTTCTCGATTGGACGGAAGTCACGTGACGGAATCAAGACATCCGTTCACGTGATAAGATACACTTTTCTAAGATGTCACACGATTACGCGTAGATCGAAAAGAACCACATTCGGTAACTCGACTCATTCTGGAAGTTCGAGGAAGTATTGATGCAAGTGAAACTGATAAACCCAAGCGAACGTCTACACCTACGGATCACGTGATCGCGAACAGAAAATAATTCTCCTTGATTTACAAACAAAGCCAGCATTTCTCTCGCCACAAAAGGCAGGAACACTTCAATGCCAAACGACACGGAAGCGTTTTTCGATTCTCTAGGGCGTATCCGTGGCCCCCGCAGCACCGTTAACGATCCTAAAACGACAACGTCACGTGACCGGCTACCGAAATTAACGGAGCTGGTTACAAGACGGCAATTTTGGGCCGAATTACACTCGCCCCCTCTCTTTTGCATTTTGCGAAATTGAGGACAGCGTGGTGCAATCCTTCTGACAATGGATGAGAGGGCTAATGACCGTAAGGAGGGGGTCGAAATTAAGATCCGAACAGCGTCACATGACTGGTTCCGCGATACGTGACGCGAACGACTAACTAACTAGGACCCTGAAAAGCTCGCGTTTTGTCAACATTTCGCCTTCTTCCAGGAATATTGGCCTTCCCCGCTGCATCGAAAGGGAAAGTGAGGTTGGCGTGGTCACCATCCCGCTGACCTTGCTAGCACCGTAGCTGTTCAAGGTCGAGAATTAAAGGCAATCCAGGTGAAAGTTACGTAAGTTTTTTCGCGATCCTGACCTTGCGGTGCGATTTTTTTGGGCTTGACCTTCGTTATTTTTGGAGTCACCATCGAGTTTCGCCATTTCCTTCCGTCACATGATATAAAAAACAATTTTCGACACGTGTCGCTTATCCAATCTTCCCCTTCACGTGATACGAGTTTAAACAATCGACCTCGACAAACNACATGAAAATGAAAATTAATGAATACACTGTGTACAGTAATTTACCTGATAAGACAGACCTCAGAAAAATACTTTATGAGAGCTTTTATACTTTTATAAAGCTGTCTATAATGAAAATTAATTAACTAAGGATTTTTTTGCCCTGCCAGGGTGTGGTCGAGTTATCCGGAGTGCCGGGTTATCGAGAGCCGAGTTTTCGAGGTTCTACTGTAATAACAATGTTAGTTTGAAAACTTGTTGTCCCTGCTATATTTAGAATTCCATCAATAGAAAAAAAAATGAATATTGTATTTAAACTTTCTTACAGCATTTAAAATTTATCAGACAAAAAAGTATATTATTAAAAAATTATTAAAATACTAATCAGAGTCTGTTTGTTTGTTATCTGTCTTTCTCCACAGATGACACTACTTCATAACAAATCATATTTATTTCTTTTATTGTTATGTTGTTGTTATTAATAGCTTTTACTTTCCCAGCTGTTATATATGGTAGAGGAAAAGTATATCAAATCAATCAAGAAATGACCCTCCAAAATTTGTACATTTGTTCTCATCTCAATGTTTCAAGGTTTCCTGAAACATTGAGATGAGAAAAATGTACAATGAACAAAAATTTTGAAAAATGGAAAAATATTTCTTCATACGTACTAATGATAGGAGATCTAAACACTCGAATAGCTCAAAAAATGGACTTGAAATATAAAGGACCAAATAGGTTGATTCAAAACAAAAGAAAAAAAAATCAGTGATATTTCTGTATGTATGGATGTTGGGTGTGTGTTTGTGGGGGAGCCATGATTCTGTTCACCCTGTTTAAAACTTAAAACTTGTAAAAAACAAAATTAATAACTCTTGTGCTTTTTGTCAAAAATTTCTGAAATTTTGCAACGAGGATTGTTTATTAGG